TGTATTGTTTTGTAATATGGCGTCTCCATACTAACAAGAGAAGACCCTGCTCCTCTACGCTCTCGGGCCATCCGTCGTCTATTTGATACGCAGCGACACATAAGTACTTGGGCAGGTTGATCGTTGGCAACTTGAAGAAGAGATCGAAAATTGAACTCGCACATCGTTTGCAAATCGCTTGGGCGAAATTTCGGACAAACAAACATGTCCGATGTCTTGACCAACCGTCATGTTTCCTTAAAGTTGCGACTGAAATATTTCGATACTATGATTTCTCCAGTTGTGTTGTTTGGCTTGGCCTCCTTACCTTTTTGTGCAACGCCGGATGCTTCGTGCAATTGTTGGTTGGGTAGCTGTGGATGGCAACGATTGGAGGGGCACCATGCGCAGAGTGAACGATAAAGTGAAAAATGTTTTAATTTTTTTTCCTGTTGGCAGATGGTCTGATGCTTTATTCAAACGCCAGTTTCGTCTTGCTACACGTATAGCTAGTTCAATTAGTCGGCCTGGATTCGCGACGCTTTGGGACCCTCTTGTCAATTGGCGCTGCAATTTCGATTCAAGGCCATTCCGCGCACCTGAACGCCCGCAGCAAAGATGGGACGATATGGTTCAGAAATTTTGTAACCATTGCTATGGTGATACTGTTTGGTCTCAACATGCTTGTGACTCTGTGACCTGGTTTCCTTTAGAAAAAAATTGTACAATTTTGCGGTGAACGGTTTTCGTAGTAGCTTGCTTGTTTGTCCCATATCCTGAAAGGACCGTAGTCATGACCTGACTCGGACATCTCGGACGGGCGAAAGGCGAAAGAAAGTAGTAATTATTTCGCAGCTATTCAGTAGCTCCTTAGCACCGATTGAGCAGCTATTTAAGAACAATGTAGCAGCTATTTGGCAGCCATTGCAGCTACTTGGCACGTATTTGGCAGCCACCGAAAAACTATTCAGCAGCTATTGCGCAGCTGTTTAGTAACAATGTGGCAGCTACGTCGCAGTTTTTTAGCAGGTCTTGAGCAAGAAGTGATGTTTTTTTTGATAACGACACTATCAAATATTCTAAGTGCCATGGAATTAGCATGTGGTGGAAATTTCTACGCGGACCTCGAATGGAACCCGCTAGATCCTCCAGGATGAATACGTCAATGTTTAAAGTGCTAACCCGCAGTTATAAATTAGTGCATATGCGTTTATATGCATCATAGATGTGTGTGGCTATTGCTGGTAAGACTTTGCATGAACTTGAAATTTAAAATTCGTGTATAGAGTTGCATGAACTACCTGTGCATACGCACAGGGCACAACAGACATTTCTCCACCTTACTCTCTCCCCACCCATTTCGTATTCTTCTGTGTTTCTTTCCTATGCTGCTGTGACCATTTTCGTTACCGCCAAGGTTAACCCCATTGCCTTCCGTTTTGCGACATTTGTCGTCCCGCTGTTTGTCGTCCCGCTCGAAGCTGGGGACGGCATCTTGGAAGTCCCATGTCTTGTGGAAAATTTGTTTTCCCATCTCATTACCTGCCACTTCCCGTCTTGGACGTCCCATCTCCTGCGGTAAATTCGTTTTCCCATCTCATTACCTGCCACTTCCCATTTTGGACGTCCCGTCTCCTGTGGTAAATTCGCCTTCCCATCCCACTACCTGCCACTTCCCATCTTGGACGTTTATGTTTTCTTGGAAGTCCCAGGATTCTTGTCAACTTTGATCAAACATTCCTATATCATCTATTAAAAAAATGGAAAAATACCTGCCCGTTAGGTCGGCGCACAACTCCCATGTCATGCGTATTAAAAAAACGATAGCAAAATTGATGCACAAATCCCATGTCATGTGCCAAAAAACATCGGCTAAATCGGCCGCAAAGTGCCGTGCCATCTGCACCTACTACAGTATACTAAATTTGCTTTATGATGCGCAAACTTGGCTGCGTGGAAGGAAGCGGCACCTTTCCAATCAACCGGGGAGTCTACAGGGTGATGTTTTTAGCCCTTCTTTTTTTCAACGCTGGCTTGGGAGACGCGATGAGTGCATGGAAACAACGCTTTGGATGTCATGGTGTCAGCATAGGACATAGGATTACAACAGCGTTTGACCAACATTCTTGTACAAGTTTGCAAAGGGTGAAGATGAACCAGTGTACATGCTGCAAATTTTGTGCGCCGAATTCGGCAAGGTCGGATTCGAATTATTTTTTTCCAAAACGAAGGTGTTCACCACGCAGGAGATGAATGTTGTAGACGTGGTCATTGTGAACGATGAACTTATTGATGTGATGAAAAACAATTGTATCCACAAATGCCTTGGAAGAAAATACAAGGGTGATTTGACAAAATGTCGCCGCATTGGTTTTCAACATCGAGTAAATTTGGCTTGGGCAGAATTCGGACATTATCGCACATTATCGCAAAACATGTGCAAATAAACGTGCGGTCTTGCAGCGATATGTGACCCATGAACCGCCCCCGTATCCTTTCCTTCTAGGATCGAGGCGACTCGGATGCGTGAACGAACGAAATTGACAAATAAATGCGTTTCAATCAAACTACGCTTGCGTTTGTTTGATGCATTTGTGACCCCTACCATCTTGTGCGGTTTGATCAGCATGCCGTTAACCACATCTGATTTGAATCAACTGGATGCAATACAACGTCGCATGCTTCGGTCTTTAGTTGGTTGGGTCTGTGTGCACGATGTTTCGTATGAATGAGCGCGTGCGATCAGCTTTACATTCTCAGGATGTCACAAACATTACAAACTGGAAACATTGATTTGCAAATCGATATTTTCATTAGCCACAAAGGCCGCTGGAACATGTGGTTGGCCAAAGCACGTAGTCAAGTGGTGCCCCTTCAATAACTGGCAAAAAAATCCGCAACAACAAGTTCGAAGCAGAGGACGCCCTCCGAAGAGATGAGACGACAATTCAAAGTTTTTTTTTTTTGCGCAGAGGCTTACACAAAAGGGTTCTATCGTTCCTGGGGCGCGGTTTTTTTCCCACGAATTCTCGCGCGCAACTGTTCTTGTGACATGTTTATGTGCCTTGTAATTGCACAGGCTCGCGCAAAAAATGTTTTTTTTTTTTGAAGATGTTGGCGCCGTCCTCTTTATCTGGTCCTTGCGGGATTTTAGACAGGCCCCTGAACCTCTGAAGATCGATCCTTGTGTCCTTGTGGTCCTTGATGTTCTACAGAAAATTGTGGAGATCCCCAGAAAAATCCTTTCTAAGCCGTCCTTGCATGGAAAGTCTTGTAGATGCCAATGTCTTAAAAGTGGTCGTATGAAAAGTCTTCCGGGATGCTCTTGGGAGCTGCTTGCTGGTGGTCATGGCAGGGAAATCTTGGTCAAAATCTTTTTACATTTTTTTTGTGCCAAGATCTTGTCGAGATCCTGGTGCAATCCTCTAAGTCCGGGCATGATCTCCCACAGGTTATTATGAGCAGATTTTGTGGAGATTTTCTTGTTGAACCCCTTCCCACGAGGTCCTTAATTGCATTAAAATTTTTAAGATGCTCTGCGTTGGTGCTTGTCTGCAGGTTCTGGGGTGCTCATGGGAAGTTGTTGCCTGAGGATTGTGCGAGCCTTTTGAATTTGATCAATAGAAAAAATATTGCTGCTGCAGTTGTGTTCAGCTCCAACCTGGCCTATTATTTTTCCATAGCTGCTGTTGCATTGACATCCTACCCCCAACACTGTTTGGGGCCTCGTGCCGGTGTAACTTTATGCAACTCCGGGATTGATACGTGCACATATGTTGTAAACACGTTAAAACCATCAGGGGGGATTTGCTACATCGTGATTTTAACTGGGACACACAGGGCTGCAGATAACAGTCTTTCCTTCATTGGGAAAATCCGTCGGTGTCGCCTTTGTTTTGTGGCCCGGTTTCGATATCGCCAGCAGGTTACAAGGGCGGCAATTGGTATCGATCGCCGTGCAAAAAGATGGCATTGGGTGCCCCCCATCGATCCCTAGTTCTTGGCCAAACTTCGATTCCTAGGTGGGCTGCCCCGGGAACAGCCCTCTCCATCGCAAACGCTTTGGTGCCACAAGCCTTGCCCCCAAACCTCGCCCCGCAAACCCCTCGCCTGGGAAACGTGTCAAGAATAATAGCATTCCAGACCTACCCTGGCCCTTCCCTCCGCATCCTCTGCTTGATTTTGGTTTACATTTTTTCCGTTTGGAAACTGGCGAAAATGATAGATAAGAGTCAGCTAGTGTCAACCCGCCACAAATGAATTATCGGACTCGATGCACGAAAAAAGGGGCGGAGGAAAAAACACATGGAGAAACACACACGCATATATTGCAGTAGGATTGCGGTTTGCAATGGTCTGTTTTTTTTTTTCCGCATTCAATTTTTTGGAAACTAATTTCCTCAAACCATGCGAAGTGCACAAGTTGGCCCCTGTATTCAAAGAAACGCGGCTGTTTTTCACCACGCAGATCCAATGCTGTAACTTACGTTCGCGTTTGCACCTGGTCGATTTTGTTCCCAGCTGGCAGTTATTTTCCCGTGTTACTCAAATAGTATGAATCGTGGGGTGCCTGTCATCCGGAAGAATCAAGCAGCGAAAATTTGAAATATCACCCTGTGCCTTTTGTAGGGAGGACCTTGGGAGGAGCGTCCGCAACATGAACCAAGGATCAAAATTGAATTGTGCATGGTGCATGGCCAGGTGATGGTTGAAATTGTTTGGCCAAGTCGGGGCGGGTTGCAAAAAATCGTCATTTTCAATTAGGCCACATATGTGCGTTCAACCAATGGAATCAAAACTGCTGCCTGCGCGCATGCAAACAATAACATGGAGTGTTGTGGTTCAGAGGGGTTTGGAACATGTTATTTTTTTTTAATGGGCGGAGTATGATTTTCCTGAATTTTAGACAAATCCGGTATACCTATGCATTTGTAGGTGCCGTTTCATGCTGGTTGGTTCATGGGCGATGTTACCACAAAATCACGCGGAAACATTGCACGGCTCAAATTCAGATGGCCGGGGCCCCACGGACTCCACGGAGACTCTGTCAGCCACGCCAGCGTCATGTCGGACAAACGCCGGTTGCAAGAACTCTTCGAGAAGTACGACGCGTCCGGCGATGGCGTCCTTTCTGAGAAAGAAATGCTGAATTTGTTCGAACATCTGGGCATTTCAAGGGCCCAAGCCGAAGAGGTTTTCCAAGAAGCTGATGCCAATAGGGATGGAACGATTCAAGTACATGAGCCCTTCGGTATTGGAAATTAAAATTAAAGTCATCAGAGTCTTGTTCGGACCAAATGGTGAGAATTCAATGTCGAACCTACATTGTTTGTACAGATGTCCCCTGAGTTCTGATGGTTTAGTTGCCATTTTTTTATTGTTGGGGTGATACCCCCCGCAGTGGAGCTATGTTTTCTGCTGTTGCTTGATCATCGTCAGGTTCATTTCTTGGCTGACAGCCAACAAACCGTCCTACAGCCCCCTTGCCAGCCTTGGCGAAGATGGGACGGGAAATATCGAATTTGCTTTCGGAAATTCCACGCAGCAGACTTTGAAATATACCTTCAAGTTCATGGCCTTGGAAAATGTCGAAGTCCTTGGGCAAAATCCAATTCAGGTGGTTCTTGAACCAGGCAAGCGCACCTTCAAACCCATGTTGCGAGTCACCAAATCTCCATTTAGTGTCTTGGCGTTGCAAACCTTGTTGAAATTTGTTTTCGATCAGCTGTGTGCGTTTTTTCCTTTGAAAATGCCGAAATGGTCAGATCAGAGAATCTGAAATCCAACATGCACCGAATGCCGGTAGATCCAAAAAGTTGAGCTGCTACGAAGTGTCCAAAACACATCTACCGCGCTGAACCGAAGCTGTGGGAGCCGGCCATGTTTTCTCAGACTTTTCTCCACTTTTCTCCCATGTCCGAAAACATCAATCTCAGACATAAATCCTGCGCCGAGACCCAATGGATTGTACCGGTCGTTGGCCTCCTATCCCCGCCCCCGTCGAGGTTATGAGGTGGCGCCCGTGTGCTGCCGCGGGGAGGTGAATAACGGGGAGGATGATCTCAGCAAGGCCTTCATGGATCCAGACTTCCCACACGATGAGCGGAGCACCAAGAACGAAAGGCTGGGGAATTCTGGGATGGTGGGAACTGGTGACCTGATGGATATGGAGAAAGGTGGTGCCAGTTAAGTTGATTTGTGACTACGTTAACTAGGGTTTTTTGTGATTATATCCACAATTTGGGGAGTTTATGCAACAAGTTCTAGCCAATGACAACCAGAAAAGTGGTAGAGATTCAATTGATCAGCACTGGGATTGAGAAACCCTTTTGACGACTTCACGAGACGTGGATGATTTTCAGGCCCAACCTTAAACATATACCAGGTGCGTGCCCCCCCTGGTTGATTGGTGGAATCCATTGATACTCGGAAGAAAGGTCAATCTACAATTCTCAGGTTGATACGCTACCATTAGTTGCCAAGGATGAAACAGACATTGATACAACTTTAGATATCGGTTCTCATTGATATGATTGTTGTTACCAACCGTGGATCATTGGATTTTAAAGGGCAATCGAAACCGGAACCATGAATTTATGGTCAAACCCTGTTTTTTCCGGGTGATTTTTTTCTTTAAACTCTGGTTTCCCCTATAAAACTGATGGTAAAGACGTATCATTTCTGGTAGATTTTCCCACCAAAACCCCTGGGATCTCCTGAGGTTCCCAGAGTTGGACATGGGGAGGCCGGACCGCTGGGTGCGCGCGCGGATGTTGGGCAACTCCAAGGAGGCCGTGTTGTTCGACCAGGTGAGGCCCCAGGACGTGATCCAAGGACGGGCCATGGTCATGTGACCGGTGAAGCCGGAAGTAGAACCACTTGAAGCATTGGGAGATATATCAAGTGGTGAATTCAATATGGAAATGAGGGAATTACAGATATGGGCAGATATTTGGGTAAAGTGAAGTGTAGGTCCTAAGGTCCTAGGTGGTTGCGTCGTTTCTTGTCTCAAGCAAGACTTCTAGATTCTAAATGAGAGCAAACAATAGCATTGTCCAAGACAGTGGTCCGCCATGTGTCCTACCCAGGACATGTGGGAGACTGCTACTTGTTGGCGTCTCTGGCGGCGTTGGCCCAGCAGCCTGAGAGACTGAAGAGCCTTTTTGGGGAGAAACATATCACGGAGGATGGCAACTGGGTGAATCATGGGCTGCCACCAATGTGGGGAACCGAAATAAAGAACCAGCAATGACTGGCTGCGTCGTTTTTTTTTCTTTAAGTGGGTGGTAATGAGTCATCGCCCAAATGGTGGCTGTTAATGGCATTGGGGCATTGGGTTTCTCGTTTTCTCCGATGATTACGTTGTGTTCCTTCGTTTTCGTTTCGCATCTCGGAGATGTCTTTTTTACCTGAAGGTCCCCCCATCGGAAAGGAGGTGATTTCTTGTGAGACCTTCCTTAAGCCAAGGGGATATCTGGGATAACCCCGATTTTTGTGCCAAGGCAAGTACACAGTGAGACTCTTTCACATTGAGAAGAAGGACGGCTGAGAGTGATGACATGGAGATGGGGTCCAAAGGGGACTCAAGGGTCAGACGGGTAGATAGATTCACGAAAAGGTTTAGGCAGCAAACTTGGGCTTCCCTTTCCAACGAATTGCACCAGATGGGGAGCTCTTTACTTCCCATTACATTACTTCCCATATTTGAAAGATGAAGAGCTGAACACCTGTGGCCCATTGGCTGTTCCCAGATATGAATGGCTAGAGTCCATGCCCCATGTTTTCACCAGATCTCACCAGCAGATCCTCCCCAGGAGTGGGTCAAGGTCACTGTGGACGAGTTTGTGCCCTGCAGAAGTGTGGATGGCATCCTGAAACCCTGCTGTGCGCAACCCTTGGGCGAGGAGAGTTTCGCCTAGAGGGAGCTGGTGCAGCGGATACCCAAAGTGTTCACTACAGTACCCAATTTTCCTGACATAGATAGGTTAGATTTCCCCCCCTAACCTTTTAAAAAATATATGTTACGTGATATAATCACAAAACTCTGGTTGGAAAAGTAAAACATCTCCTGAGCTTTGAGGGTCCTCGGTCTGAATCTGTGCTGTAGGCAAGAAATGAAGAGAGAACCTCCCCCGGCCCTGCCGGAGGAGATTTGGGTTCCTTTGCTGGAAAAGGCTATTGCCAAATTCTGCGGGAACTATGGGGAGATCTACGGTGGCATGGAGAGCTGGGTCTTCAATGTCTTGACGGGTCGAACCCCTGAGATCCTGCAGAAGACCAACAAGGGCTGGGTCAGTGGCTGGGTACCATTGATCATTTTTTTTTGCTAGGATGGCCCAACCATTTTTTTCCTTTGGAAAGTCGGAAACTGGCCTGCAGCTGAGCCATTGAAAAACACAGTTTCGCATGTTGGTTGGCCTGGTCCAAGAAGGATCCCTAGAAATTGTAAGAAGAACACCGATCACAGAAACCACAAATAGTTTGGAAAAGGTCATTTACCATGACTTTTCAGCATGTTTTCCAAGATTTTTTTTCTATCTGTGGGTTGAAGTGGGCTATGACATGCAGCAAGCAGGCTACTTCTCCCGGGACATGAAGGCGCGCGAACCGCAAAAGGGACGGCCCCGAAGGAACCGCGACAGGAAACCCATGGACTCGGAGCAGCTCTTCCAATACATCTCAGGTGGTTGGGGATGTGGTTGGTGAACCTGTACACATCTGTACACATCTGTACACCATGTTTTGACCATGGCACATATATGGCTAATAATGGGGTGAAGATCATGAGAAGTTGAGATGGAATATATAATGGAATTGCCTCGTGCAAATGGGGATGTTTTGAGTACCAACACTGGGATGACTACGCGATGGCATGTGGAAGTCTCCACAGATTGATCTCCAAGGGAATCTGGAACTCTGGAAGATGATTTTCCAACATTTTCCAACATTTTCATTCTCGATTGGTTGACTGTGACTGCTTATTTTCACGGGATGTTCCGGCTAACTTCCAGGATTCCGCCCTCCATTCGATCAGGCGCCCTGGCGGATAAGCACATCGTCTCCTGCAGCGTGAACTTCTTGGATGACAAACCCATCAGGAGTCCCGAAGTGGAGTCACAGGTAGGGGAGTGAAAGTGGCAACATCCAAGCAAAAAATCTGGGTATCATAGGGAGCCGTTGCGTTTACCAATTTGCCAATGATCTTTTGGGGAATGATGGGATGGTTGTTTTAGGGGGTATCCGTTTGGTCGGATGAAACGGAATGGGTTTCGGGTGCAACATCTGATGGAGATTAACATGCGGCATGTTTCGCTAAATCTTCATTTTTGGCATCGTCCTGTAGAATGTAGAATCCACCTGCCAAAACATCAGACATCAACAGTTTCCATGATCAGAATTTCACGAGTTTCCACGCACATATGTGATCTTCATTGATCTTCCACATGACTTCGGGTTTAGGAGCCATTGGAGCCATGGACTGACCATTTTCCATCCCTTTTCAGGTGCGGCAGAAGTACGGTGTGGAGGCGAACCACGCGTATTCCTTGCGAACCACGCGTATTCCTTGATGAAATGCTTTGAGGAGAAGCTGGACAACGGGCAAGCCATCCGCCTGGTGCAGATTCGGAACCCTTGGGGCTTTGGCGAGTGGAACGGTGATTGGGCTGACTACAGCAAGGGGAAGCTGCCCGATTGCTGGGAGAAGAATCCTGAGCTCAAGAAGAGATTGAAGGTCAAATGTTTTTTTTTGGTGGTGTTATTGACTGGAAATGAAGGCCAGACTTTTTGTTGACCCCGTTGACCCCTTCCAATCTTAGTTCTTTGCCGCTTTTTGGCTTCATTGACGAGTTTGAACCCCTGAAGGTGAAGAATCAGAACGATGGCCTTTTCTACATGTCCTTCGACGACTTTGTCATGCTCTACAGTGGTTGCCAGTTGTGCCCTGTGGGCACCAAACCCATCCCTAATAATGAAGAGTTGGAAGAAGATGTGGGAGAGGAAGAGTCGAAGGGTTTCTTCTCAAGCATGTTTGGCAGCTTTTGGTAAGCACTGTTTGAATCATAGGCTCGCACAGGCTGAGACGGCTGAGACTTGAAATATCTCGGAGGCAAGCGCCTGAAGGGACCCTTGCCGCGTTTCACCTCTCACCTGCACCTCTTTGAGATGTGCAAAATCATTGGCTCCGAGAGATCACTGTGCGTCATCCTTGTGTTGGTCGGTTGAGCCACGGAGTCCTTGTTGGTACACTGCCCGGTTTGTTGTGTGTCACGTGAACCATTGCATGGAAGAAACATGAATGCTGCATGATGGCTTAAATGAGTCAGAATATATATGTTGTCATTTGGAGCTTTATACATACAAAACGCATTTTGGATCATTTTGGCATGGGTGCCATAGAGGTGTAGCCGATAAAAGCGCAACATTCTTCACTTGTGCACTGTGCACCTCTGGCCATGGACGATGCGAAGATTTCGCGTGGACGCCTGATCCTTGTGTGTGGCTTGGTTGGCACGGCTGGGTCGGAGAAGCCATGCTCCTAAGGGCTTGCTGAAGCAATCTGGTTTTACGACAAGTGTGACAAGTATCAATAATATGTAAGTTCTATCAACAGCAGGGTCAACATGTGGGACTTCAAGTGCTACTTGGCTGAATTCGGGGGAATGGTGTAATGCCGTTTCAGTGCATACGGTTCCCAGGTGCCCTACCACTGATCAAAGCTCATCAAAGACGTGAAGTATGATTGAATGGCGCGCATTTTTAACTAAACTGCCCAGTTCATCCTTTCCCGCAAGTGAAAATCATCCCAAAATCATCCGACAATCGCCCAGTTAGGTGGCGCCTCCGGTTCGGGCAAGTCCTCCCTGGCAGAAGCGCCTCCAGGCTGCATCGCTCCAACGGAGTTCGGGTGGATTTTGGCAGCTGGCAGCTGGCAGCTGAGGCTGGGGGAAGCTATAGGATGCGCCAACATCCTGCATCAAGACAACTATTTTTTGAAGCCTTTCCTGAGTTTCTTGGATAAATATGATGCATTTTGCCGTTGTGGCTGAGTTTTTGGGACTGGGAATGTGGGCTTGATGGGCACAGCTTCAAGCGATCTAAAGTAAAGTTCGATTTCGAAGCTTCCAGTGCTGTCAGTGTTTTGCAAGTGCCAGGCTACAAGGAACGAGTCTGGTAGCCCAGAATCATTTTGCTGGGAGGAGCTGTGTGGAAGGATGATATGGACCTTTTATGCTAGAATCCTTTCACCCTTGCATCAATCCAACTATGATGATAGGAGTGAAAGGTGCGTGCGAGGGTGCTGATGGGTTTGGGTAGGGGCTTGATCTTTGTTCAAGCTGATTGAGCAGAAAGGGGGATTTCCTTGAAGGGTCCTCTTTTAGGGGAATGGTTGTCTTAACCATAGGATGTTTGGGTTTTCCCCAAGCAATTTTCAGTCCGGCTCCATTTGGCAGTGAACGTTTCAGGTGGACGATTCCTTTGAAGGTCCCGCACATGTGGACTGGCCGCGCCTGCGACGGGATGTGCCTCTGGGTCGCAGTGGAGTCATGGGCAGTACGCAACAGTCGAACGGGGAACCGGTGGAATGCAGTGGGTCAGTGAAAATGCCAGTGGATTCAGGATTTCAGATACCCTCTGATAAACATACAAAAAGCTATTGAAAATGGCCATTTATAGTTGATCTTCCCATTCATGATGGTGATTTTCCATGGTTTTTTGTATGTTTTGGGTAAATATAGCAAGGTGACATCAATGGATTGGTAGCTGGTCTCTAAGGCGTGAAGCCTTGGAGAAGAGCGATAAGAGCATCGTTGAGGGACACCTGGTGGCTGCAGATGAGGAGTCAGCTTACGCTGCAGCCCGGTGCGACCAATGGCTGCGCCAATGTGACAATGTGCCCAATCTTCAGCTGTTTGGGGGCAGCCTGTGAGGTGATGACATAGATCACTAGGTTTGAAGGTCACCACCAGCAGTTCGCACCAGGTTTTATCACATAATGCTCGATGAGATTTTCCTAGCTTCAATGTTTTTTTTAAATATACGCCGTGAATTTCTAGATGGCAAACGGTTGGAAGCACCGGGAGAAAAGAATCGCAGGAGCTTGCGCATCAGGCAAGTCTCGTTGTGCTGCTTCGATGTCCTCCGGAGCTTTGCACCTTGGTAGCGCCAAAAGGTGCCATGTTTGCAGGTTATCTCCCTATCATTTCTAGCCATCTTCCAAGTTTGGCAGGTTCATGTTCCCACCATTCAATGATCTTCGGTAGATATCCAAGCCATTTGTACTTGAAATGGCGATTCTCGATTGCATATTCATTCTGGTTCTCGGATTTAGCTCAGCCGAACTGACGATGGGGGGAGAAATGGTCAAGAGACTTTGAATCAAAAAACCAATCGGTGGGTGATTTTCGATCATTTTCCATCATTTTCCATCATTCCTTTGGGTCCTTTTTGGCTGGCAATTTCCATGGCTCCTCCAGCTTCGCAGGCAAGACGCGGCGCCTGCAGCGCCGTCCCCGGGAGGTGGCGGAGGCGCAAGAGCTGTCGGAGACTTTGCTGATTTTGAGATGGGAATACCTTCCGGTAAACCAACAGTTTGCTATGGAAAATCACCATCTTGAATAGGTAAATCAACTATTTGCCCATCCGATTTTTTGTGACTTTTATAATGTGGGTAAAACAATCATAAATAGTTGGTGTAAACCATTCCCGAATGGGTGGTTTATTATTGTCTTACCCACATATATACATGGAATTAGCCCAGTTATGTCCAGAAATAGAAGCAGAACAGATATGACTAACTGTATAAAGCATTTCTGTGCAGTTGCGGGCTTCAAGATCGTCAAGTTATGCTTTCTTCAACACGCATCGCAATGGGGTCTCAGGACTACATCGACCGCTTTGTGTTGCCGGCGTTTCTGAAGTAGCAGGGCAATGACTTAAATCTGGCCATGTCACAACTCACAGAGGGTTGAAATGTTTCAGACTTCATCACCCAAGCTGCCCAGTCCCAGGTATGGTCAGCCTGCCCTGGATGCATTGGAGGAGAGCTGTTTTATGGCTGCAACTTGGGGGATGGCCCAGGGCGTTCTGTGGTGAATTGATGTCGTGTTGGGGTTCCATTTCCCACTCCATCAATGTCGCAGCCTTTTTTTTGGAGGGTTTTTGAACCAAGGGCAGGAACATTTGAGGAAGTTCAACAAGCCGATGTTGAAAAAAATGCTCACAATTTCATAATTGGTCAGATCTTCTCACCTTGACGACTTCACCTATGGGATACACATAAGGCCACAGTTGCAGTTACTTTGCCACCCCAAGCTTCTGGTGGTCACACCGTACTCAGTGGGGACATCTCGCCGGCCATTGTATGAGCTCAACATACCTCATTGTTTAACAGCACATTTTTTCTTGATCATATACCTACATAGGTTCACGTACACATCAGATGATACGTGATCTCTTTATGTATAGGTTCTCTTCCCCCACACATAAGGCTCAATTCGAACAACTTAAGGGGACATCTGGTGGAAACCATGGTTTTTACATGTTTTGACCCTCAAGTCTAGGGTTTTCTTGTACTGATTCCCCTCATCCGATCATGGTATGGTCAAAGTCTCGACCCCTCCAGAGGCCGCGAAAGCTCCACCTCTGTCCTGACCTTCGACGCCGCGATCACCACGGTGGCCGAGCAGTTGGAAATCCTGCGGCTGGCGATGGGCGACGTCACTTGAGGTGCCGGGTGCCGTGGGGGTGGAGGGGTAGAAGTGGTGTGGGGAGTTCACCCCCTCCAAACAGTGGATGTGAAACCACTGTGAAATTGGATTCTAGAACTGTTTGGTGGGACATTTTAAGTTTTTGATTTTCAATCCGGATGATAGAAGAACCATGACCTTGCTGCAGGTGGCCGCTCTACTGAAGAACGTGCCAGCTGAGTTCGGTTGGCCTCCCTGCTGACGATGTGCCGGCACGATGAAGGAAGGCAGGCTGATGGAGGGCAGCATGGCATGGCTGCAACAGATCGAGGCTCAGTGGTGCCCCAAGCCAGCCTTTGTATCGATTAATGCCGGCAGCTCCATTGGACGCTGCCGGCCATGGCGCGCATCAACTGGAGTCGGTTAAGCTGATGTCCGCTCAGGGATTCATCAATTGGATTTATTCGCTGCAACCGAAGGAGCCACGTGGTGTGTAGCTTGGGCATTTGAAGGCCACCAAAGCAGTGATTCAAGCCTTAGAAAGGCAGAAAATCTGAGAGAGAGAGAGAGGGTGACTCTGGACGTGATGCACCTGCTGTAAATCCCAAAGTGCAAGGTTGAAGTTGGAGCCTTGAAATTTTCCTTGAATCTGTGGGCCACCAAATCCCATGCTGCCATTGGTTCAAGGTATCCAGCATGATGGCAATGTGTGCACCCATCCAGGTGAGTCAGCCAAGCCATTCCCATGCCCCGAGTCAGAAGACACCACTTGTACAACCACCGCAGAGTCCAATGCAAACAAAATCTCACCGCAACCGCAGGGTAGACATCATCCCCCACAATGCTTCCATTGATGACTTTTCACAAAAACAAGTAACTGGTCCCCTCAACTTTTCAAGGGTGCAAAATGTTGTGAAAGATGGTCATCGAAAACCATCCAACAAAAACCTAAACTTAGGACGGGACACTAAAAAAAATCAAACTAACATCATGTTTTCCGAATTTTCCACAAAAAAAAAAACCGTCCTCCCAAACGTTGCCCTTCGCTCCCGCCATGGCTCCGATCCCGGGCAGCAGCCGCATGTCGCAACGCCTGCAAGACACCTTGATGCGGTATGGTCAAGCGGCACGGCCTTAAAGCGGGAGATGGCGAATGGTCCAAAAATCCCTGGTTTCACTGTGAAACAGGCATTTTTATGCATTTTTTTCCTTTACCCTCTGGTAAACATACAAAGAACTATGGAAAATCACCATTTTTAATGGGGTAAATCCACTATAAATGGCGATTTTCAATAGCTTTTTGTATGTTTACCAGAGGGTAATTCAATTGGTTGCTGTAGCCATGACACATTGCGGATGATGTCTTGAAGTTCCACGAGTATCTCATCCGACGCCGAGGTGGGCCTGGTGGTGCATTTTTGCCTCAGCGGCATCTCGCTGGTCTCCTGCTACCTGGCGGTAAGGCATCAGCTGCCGATGGATCACTTGTTGGAGCTGGTGGGGAAGCATCCGGAGGCGCCTGGAAGGGATGGGAAAATCATGGGAACTCTGGAAGCACTGGGGATTCGAGTCTGTAGAACTGGTGCGTTGTGAGCTACTGGATTTTCGTGGTTAATTTTCGGGTTTGACTTTGCTGATGTTTTTCGGTGTCCACTTCCGCGTGGAAGCAGATAGTAGTTTGTCATCATCATAAATGGAAAAAACACCAACCAGGAGTTTTTTTTCCAATTTTTCGTGGACTAAGATTGACCATGGGTCAATTTTGCCCCATATTGGCAATATTTGGCCATATTTGGCCATATTTTGCCATGGATTTTCCCCGAACTTTTCCGGGCCATCTTCGACCTTTGCCGCTTTGCCGGGCCCCACGGGCCTCGTTTTTCAGGAGACGGCCGAAGGCTCTCACCTGGGCGCTGGCAGCAGCATGGTGATGGCCTTCGTCCTGCATAAGGTGAGCGATGACTTGCCGCAAGCCTTGCTTGTTGGGGAGTGTTATGTATAGCCTGTATAGCTGTATTATATATATATGTAATATGTATATGTATATGTATAATATTATAATATAATATTATATATCTATAATCTATTATATCCATTATATATTATATATATGATGTATAGTATATCTCCAATTATCCATCCATAATTATCGATAGATCTATAGATCTAGACATGAATGCGAATGTTAGACACTGAATTTTCAGAGGAGAACCTCCACCGACCACCAGGCCTTGATGCCGTTGCGCGTGCCCGTCACGGTTGCGGTGACCCCGCTGGCGGCAGGGATTTGGAAATGCCTGGGGCGTTGAACACGGCGACATCGTGCCGATGACCTGCGGAATTTTCCTGGTGCGGTTGGTCGGACGTCGCCGATTTTCGGAGCTGATTTAACGGCGCAAAAAAGAGGTGTGACCAGGGTGACCAGGGTGATGGGACAGCTTTGACATGATTACAGCTGGTGTAGTAATTACATGTAATTACTCTGGTACAATGATGCGATGATCTTCTCCAAGTCTATGAGTTCCAACTGTAGCCATTGCGGCGCAAGCAGTGCTGAAAAGGTGGCTGCTCAAGATGTATCTTCGCAAAGCTTGAAGTCTTTTGAAACACACGCAACTTGAGAACGGACACATTGCTTGCTCATATGCCTTTGCACACTTTGTTTACGATCAATTTTCAGGTGCTGTACATTCCAAGTTGTTGCCATCCACAAGTTCCAAACCCATCATGAGTCACCCACCATCACACCAAATGCCCAAAACAGCTTAGTCATGCTTTAGCACTTTAGCTGATCCGGGTCGAATGGTGGCTGTGAGCGATGTGTTCAGCATCTCCGATCTGGTTGGGGGCACCAAAGCGCGGCATGGAGTGATCCTGAATTGTTGCGAGCGACATCTGTTAATTTGATTACCTTTAGCATTTGGTTATCAAGGGGAAATCCAACATGTTCCGTTGAAATTAGGTTATTTGGATGTCCAATTTCCATGGCATTTTCTGGAGCATCTTAGCTTCGTGTGAGAAAGCAACCAGTGTTACAGGCGATAGAAACAACAGATCCGCGGGTCCCAAATTTCTGGGATGTTCCACCGAACAGGGGTCAATCTGCCAAAGATAGGAACGCACTAATGTAGCTTGTGTCTTGTTGGTGATATTCCGTTTGACTGCTTAGATCCAAGTTTTTTCTTAATCGTAATTAGTTATTAGTTATATTACGTAGTTATGTGATATAAGTTTGATGAGTCATATTATATCATATTATCTATATTGGCTGTATTATTTTTTTGGGTTATATGTTATATTTAGTATAGATTTATTAGATATATGATTTCTGCTGGTTATACTATGTATGTATATATACATATGTACATATTTACTGTATACACACCAATTTGTTTTTCTGGGATACCCTAAGGTCGCAGTGGAGGATCACCTACTGGACTGGCTGGGCCACTTGGCGTGGCTGTTTAAGCGGGCCGTTGAAACCTTGGTACATATGGATTGGTGGGAAATTTTACAGGAAAACCTCACATTTAATGGGAAAATCTATGGTTTCTGCTTAAGATGTTCCCTTGAACCAATCCAATAGCATGTGGTTCAAAAGTGTGAAAATAGTCAATGGTCCAGTTACCAAGATTACTCACCATTTAAATGCAGTTCCTCATGCTTAATTACATGAACTTCCATTAAAAATCTTTTGAATTAAAGATCGGTCTCAATTCCGTCAAAATAATCCCACCAAATCTTTCATTTCGAATCCGTTACAAATCTGTTCAAATCCATTCAGATTCATAAACCTTTAAGATCCAGATAATTGATAATCAGATATTCATAAACCTTCATAATCTTGAAAATCCATTCAGACAATCAGATAATCCAGTTCCAAGAAGCATCTGAATCCCAACTTCGGCTCCTAGGCGTCTCGGAGCTGCTACCCTGCCGCCCAGCCTCCGCATCGCTCCGGCGCTGTGCGCAGCAGCCGCTGGCGCGGCAGCTGCTGCAACGGCTGCAGGGCGGGGCAGCGCAGGGAGTGCCTTGGAGGGTTCAAACGTGGCAAACCAGCACTTATAACTTGGTTAACACTATAGTCACTATAGTTAACGGACTCTGGGGGATGTTTAATTGAACTATAGTTAATTTAGATCCATAAACTATAGTTATAATTAGGTTGATGGGGGATATAGCTGTAGTTGATGGATTTAAATGAGTTAATAAACCAGCTTGTAACAGTGCTTGATTCTCGAAACCTTCATGGGGTATGACTTTCTAGTGCCCCAAATGGTAAACTCGAGTAATATTTTGGGGATTGAATATATTTTTTGCCTACATGAATCCCTACATGAATAAGAAGGAAACCACAAACCCAACTCCACCATTGGGGGGTGATTCTGAACAACTACTAGTCCAAGTAGGGTTCACAGCTGGGTTTTCATATTCATATTTCTACATTCAAGATTGCCATCACGAATCGGCCAACATATCAGTGACAACCAAACAGATAGAAGCAGATTTTCAGATTTCCCCTCTGCTTTTTAGCAGGTTTCCAATGTCTACTAATTGATCCTACTGTTTGGGATGCCATTTCAATATATTTCAATCTGAACGTCACTGAACTTAGGCTGCCTTGAGAGGTCTGGGATGCGTGGGGTATCTCAGGTGCTGTGCGGCATCAGTCCATCAACCCAGCAATTCTTGAATTTTTGATCCAAAGATTGAAGAACATCATGACCATCACAACTCGTCACAACTCCGTGACGCCAAATGCTGGCCCAAGGCCCAGCTGTCGAGTCCCGAGGTCTTGGAAGGCTCAGTGGCCACCCAGCGCTTTGCAGCGCAGCTGGCGGTGGGGTTCTTGGGTGACACCAAGGCCCGGTGCTGGGAGGGGAGAAGAGGCCGAATGCGAATCATCTCCAGTGTCTAGGTTGGGGGATGCAAGTAGATCATGCAAAAGCTTGCCCTCTTTTGGTTCATCCCGCTAGGCATCCATGCGCCAAAGTGCCGCCAGCGTTCTGAACCGTTTGGGAGATGTGGAGCTGGACTGGGAACTGCGACTTTTTGGCCACCAGACATCATTGGCACAAGGGCCCCCCAAATGGAGATAGTGACATATGTATACATTTGTGGCATTTGTTCAACTCGCTTCGGTTTCCATTCCAAACGGGTTCACATGTGACACACGTGCAAGTTCAAGAGGCAGATCTCGTTGCAGGACGTTGGCGCCTCGGTGTGGTCGACCTTGGGCCCTGCGCGGCTCGGTCGCATCCATATCGGGATGGGGGTTGCAGTTGAAGCTACGAATTGACCATACCGACCATATGCCATACATGCTTGAGTGTTTAAAGACATGAACATGGATGTACTGGGTACTATGGTATGCCATGGCTAGTTCACCCAGAATCTTGTTGGAAGCACTAAAATCTATGAAGCCACTGCGAAATGAAGGGGTTTGGGTTGGCTGCTGGGAATTCTTGGGGTTCCGAAGCAATGACCCCGCGGGGATGGGGTGCCGCAGGTTGAGTGACGTTGATCCAAAGGCCTCTTGGCTTGGTCAGGTGGGCCAGGTCGCGCCAAGTGCGCGTGAACACTGTTGGACTTGGATGACCTGGAAAATCGGAGGGGCCATCCCCATCTGTGACATTTTCGATCTCTCTTTGGATTGATTTGAAAGGGACAATGCCGGAAACCACCATTTTTCCCGGGGAGCCATGGTTTCTATCCAGGTGAGCGCCGCTGCGGCCAAAGTGCTAACGCGGATGGCGCCCAAACATGAGGCCGGAGAAAGGGTCGGTCTCTTGGATCAAAATGCGGGGGATATCAGACGCCAGTCTAACAGGGATCTACAAGGGATACCCCCTGACTATCTAACATAGCTATGGAACATGTACATACATGTACCATTATGGATGATTTACTTGTATTTACCTCTTAATGGTGATTTTCCATAGCTATGTTAAATAGCCACAGGGAATCATTTTATGAAACTTTATGTATAATCATCAAGAACAGCGACTGGACAGACTTAACTATCAAGAATGGGATGATTCGTCCATCATAGTGAACAGCTCCATGGTTAATGGTCCTGGAGTCCTGAATATCTGATTTCAGCCCCCTATTTAGTATTGGGAAAGGATCATTCGTGTATTTCATTGGACATTGCAACAATATGATTGATGATTTGGGTTTGTTTGAAAATGAGATGTACCACTAATCTAAATCTAAATCTATGGCAATGTCTTGGGAAAATGATGAGTGACATCACCTGGAAAGGAATTAGGGAACGCTTCGGCATGTCATCACTTCTTTCGAATCAGGCTCCTGTGTGCTGCTGGGTAATCTTATTCTTCCGGAAAGGTGGTATCCTGCCGGAAAGGTCATTGAAAGCGCTTGTAGCCTCATGATTTCCCTTGGAATTATATAGTGGTCCATTAACTATAATGTACTATATGGCGCTCCACTGATCATCACGGACCTAACAGCATAATATTACAGTTGCTGCCGACTGGTGCAGGCAGCAGTTGCGGTAGTGCGGCAACTGCAGCATTCCTCGCCACAGGTGTCCCTGGTTTGTGTTTGGAACGGATGAAAGCTGGGGATATGTTCCCAGCAATGAGAATCACCAGTTGTAGAGGATGCAGACCATTTCTACATTGCTGCGGTTGCTGTTTGTGTTTTTACCAGCCGAGTTTTTTGTGCGACGGCTGGTTGACAGCCAGACTCGCGAGAGACAGAGAGATGGAAATCCACATTCAATCAACATCGCTTACTTACACCCCAAATTCTGGTTGCTCAGTGATATTTTCATATATTTTCATGGTATCTCGGGACATTTTTGCTGCCATCATCTCAAGCCTCCTGACCTCTGCCAGGTCCGACGTGCCTCGCTTCAGGTCTTGGGTCAGTTGCAGGTGAAGAGCAAGGCGCTGGTGCGGAGGCCCATCGTGCAAGGGGATGCCGCGATGGGATGTGGGGCCAATGTGGGGGTACTCGTACTGGTTGGATGGTCGGGCGTAGGTTTCTTCGTTTTCTTCTGTTTTCATTGTTTTCGTTTGTTTCATTTGGAGTGTGGAGTGACTCCGAGACTCGAGCCATCTCGAGCCCGTTCGCGAAAATTCCGAGCCGCCAGTTGAATCCGAGACTTCTCCGGCCCGAGGTCCGACGCGTCATTGAGATGTTGCTGGATAACGACTGGCCCGGGCCATGGTACCGCATTTCACAGGGATCAAAGGTCCCATTGTTGCGGTCCATTGGAGGTCCATTGGACCCAAAAAAACTCCAATCTGAGGCAAGTTCGAGCCATGGCAGCGCGAACACTGCCGCGCTTGGTGGAGAGAGGTCGACTGGATCCAACCCAGGGAGATGTCGTTTTTTGTGAATCCTTGGAGACTTGGGAAATGGGCGGTTTTTGCTGGACCCAATGGTCACTCCAATTTTTTTTGGCTGATCTCCCATTCAACCAAAAAGTCCGAGAACATCCAGGAACCAATTTCCAGTTGACCGAACTGAACATTTCTGGTTGACTCCAAAAAGATGTGTTCCTGAACGTTGATGACACTTCAAGTTGGTGAGGTCAAAATGTCGCAGCTGCTGATGCTCTAGAGGCTTTGCGGTTTCCCCCCATGAGTTGATCCTGGGGTGGCTATGTTGAGCTAACATCCCAATCATCTTCCCATTGTTGATCCAATGGATCTTAGGGTATCATCCCAACATCCCAAATCCACGACGTTGTGATTCCCGCAATTACCTCTGCGAATCAGAGGCGCATGGATGGCTTGGGTTGCTCCCGATGAAACCCTCCACATTTGAATCCCTGCAAACGACAAAGTACAGAATGGTTGTTCTATTGCAACTGTTGATTTTCCATGTTTTTCCCATTGAAAAAATATTGAAACCCCATTTGGATAGGATTTTCCACTGCAAAACTGTTAGAATGACCACTAGAGATCACTAGTTGCAGGCCGCGCTGGAGGATCTCCATCCCGTGGTGCGGCAGAACGCCGCCGGCGCGCTGGTGGGGGCCCCAGGAGGTCAGTTGAAGGTGCCAATTTTTCTGGGAAAAAATGTGAGTAAAGCAATGTATAGATAGATAGATAGATAGATAGATATATATATATGTAATATATGTAATATTATGTAATATATGTAATATATGATAGACACACACACACATATATATATATATAGAGTTTACACAGGATCCACATGGATTCACCATCCCCAATTGTAGATAAATTGATGGGTGGGATTTCAATCATCAATTTCTATTGGGTGGTGCATGACCTTGTTTTACCACCATGAGTGATATATGGGGGAATACAAACCGGTGGTGAACCGTAACTACTTAGTGGCCTTTTGATTTTCCGGCCACTGGGTTTCGTCACCATAAATCAACCATTGAAACACTATAAACAGTTTGTGTTTGGGCTCTGCTGATGATTTTGGCGTCATCTTACCATGAATTAAAACAATCTACTGGTTGGTGGTTTGGGACATTTTTTATTTTCCATGATATATGGGATAATCCCTCCCATTCACTTTCATATTTTTCAAGATGGTTATTGCACCACCAACCAGTATACCCAATTTGACCAGAAATGGGTGGTCCACACCATTCCCAATGGGAGGTTGATGGTAATTGGCTGCGGCCTGCAGGCTCACGTGGCCGCAAATCCGTCCTTGCCTTTTGTGATGAAGGTGGCAGCGTGGAACCATGCACACCCCTTGGAGATCTTCGATGGTCAATTGGAGTCATGTGGCTACTACAGCTAGTATACCCTCTGGTAAACATACAAAAAACTATGGAAAATCACAATTTTTAATGGGTAAATCCACTATAAATGGGTCATTTTCCATAGCTATGCTAAATTACCAGAGGGTATACTTATTATAAGGGGACTTGAAGATTTGAAAAGGAATTCCTTCAGCGGAAATTCATCGGGAGATGAGGAGCAGGTCAAGCAATTCAGTTCCTCATGACTCTTGATATCTTTTCATTTCCATTGGGAAAATGGTTCTATCCACTCCGTTTTTCAGGGACGTCTATCGGGCGGAAGCTGCGACATTGGCAGGCTCAAAATGCCAAGCTGAAGAGGAAGGCAGGTCCACAACCGCTATCAATATTAACAATTAGGTCTGTCTGAAAAGAGGGTCCTTGATTCCATCTGTTGGTTCATCGTCCTCAAAAAATGGCCAAACACCTGGTTACCTGGTTGAATCAATTTTCAGACTCAAGTCCCCCAACGTCCTGGGATGTTGATGATGCATCAGCACAGCTGCTCCACCAGGCAGAGGTGTTGCGAAGCACTCCGCGCAGAGCGCAAGGGTAGGGGAGAGAAGCCTTGAGCCTCGATGACCGGTCTGGGGGGTATGAAGGGGTGGTTCAACATCATTCAGTTCGGTTCAGTGTGCAGTTGTTTCAGGTTGCACCAGCTGGGATGTTATGATTGTTATGTCTTGCAAGGACAAAACATAGGATTTTGGAGTGTTGGAACATCATGGATCAGCTCCAGCTGTCATTGAGACTCGGGGTGTGGGGACATGGCGACCAGGGGAACCCCGTCGATGTTTCAGCTTGGGAACATGAAAAAAATCTGCGCGCACTGGTCACTGGACTCCAAGCATTTCTTGGCATTGGGTGATGAGAGCACTGTAGGATGCAGCTCCAAGATGTCACAACCTGGCCGGTTGCCACTCTTGGCCTGCGATTAGAAGGTAACCAGCAATCACCATGATACAGTGACTTGCATGACCCATTTTGGATCATTTTGCAGGATCGCAACCACTAAGAGTCACTTTCAGAATTTTGGATTTTGATCATTTTTGTTACAGTTGTCATACATAATCTCATCATTGAAAATCATCCGTTTTGTTCCATACGTTACCCATATGACCCATATGGAGGGCCATGGCAGCTGCCATTTCTCCTGTCTACATACTCCGTTCACAAAAAAACCATGCGGCTGAAGCGCTGATTTGTTGCAGTGCCATGGGCGACGAGACCGACGTCTTGCCGGGCTCAGAGGAAGAGGAGGCCCTGCTGGGTGGGATATCTTTGTAAACTGCCTTACCCTCTAGTAAACTAACGGAACTATGGAAAATCACCATGCTATTAATGGGAAAATCCACTATAAATGGCCATTTTCAATAGCTTTTTGTATGTTTACCAGAGGGTAGTATGGGAGGGAAATATTAAATACCCCCGGTCCCAGACCTTGGCCTAGTATTGTATCTATTACTTTTGGGGTTTCATATTGTAAGTACAATATCAGTTGGAACGGATTGCGTCGGTATATATATATATATAAATGTACATATCTGATTTACGTTCCAGTTCCTTCATTTTTAAATTGATTGGGTAAGATATCCATTTGCCTATACCTAGCGCAAGGCATCAGGTGTAAGTGCGGCAACTGTGGATGATTTCGCACCATGCCGAGCGCGTAAGGAGGCGGAGGATGATCGAAAGGAAGCCGAACGCCTGCGGAAGAGCGAGCGAAAGGAACAGCAGCTGGTTCGATGTCCTTTTTCCCACAGGTGGGTGGATAAATGATGAAGAGGTGGTCTACCTAACCGATATCAGTAGGGGTGATACGCGAAAGATCAATCAGAAGCTGGTTACCTATTGATTAAATGAGGGGCACCGCCCATTGAATGCATAGGTAAATGGTGATAAATGATATGAATGATACCACCCTGTATTGTTCCAATGGGCATCGCTGGCTGGTTGGTGGTTTAAAGTTTGTTGAACACTTGGTGAAGTGGATGGTATTCAATTTTGGTTGTGCGTTTTGGTTTGCCGCGATTCAGTATCTTGATTTGTTTCTCTGTCAGTTGCAGAGGTTTTCAATAATTGCAACATATGGTCAAGGCTGGCCAAGAGATCTTTCACATTCTTGTGCTGGGGATTGAAGAATCACCAGTTTTCCATGTTTCAGATACACCTAGCCGATTTGGATGCGTTAATTCCAAAAACATCCAATTTGTTCTGCAGTGGTTTGGCCATTGCCCTCGCCACTGAGGAAGCGCTTGTTTGCCAAAGAGCAGAGGCAGCAGAGGAACAAGGCGCAGAAGCAAAGAAAGCAGGAGCTTCGAAAGGAAAAGTTGGAGTCGATGCATCTCGGCTAAAGGGAAAAGATTTTTCCAACGCATCAAGTGGGCAGCTGAGATCATAGGATGACTGTCTCCTGATGTGATGATCATTTGATGCCAATTTGCCATTCGAAATCACCTCCAGTCGACATGTCACATCTTGTCACCCCAATGGCTTCTTACTCAGTCGGCATGTCGCATTTTGGGTCCCCAGGTCCGCCGAGGAGCGTGCCGAGTTCCTGGAGAAGGAACGACAGGCGCCGGAGATTCTGTGACCCAAGTGGCATTTTGGGATGTACAGATGAGTTGTAGGTTTTTAAGGTCATTACCCTCTGGTCAACTAACATAACTATGGAAAATCACCATCCTGAATGGGAAAACGCACTATTTCAATGGCCATTTTCAATAGCTATTTTGACATAACCAGAGGGTAACATTCACTACAGCAACAATTTGTTTCCCAATTTTTTCCATTTTTTTTGCTTCTAATCCCTGCGCCTTCGCCTTTGCGCTGGCCAGGCGGGCCGCGATCGGAAAGCCTTCCTGGAGACCTCCCTGACGGAGGCCTTTGAACGAGGTCGCCCGCGGGTAGTGCCTTGGATGCCTTGGATGCCTTGGATGCCTTGGTCAAGCGAAGGGATTTTGATGGAGTTTGGATGAGTTTGGGATGATTTTGGGATGAAGTTGAAAAGATGAACATTTCACTCAGTTTTTCCAAGTCAAATATATGTATATATATATACATATATATATAGTCATTATGTAGTCGAATTCCGATTCAGAGGTCGCTTGACCTGCATTGCGGGTCATGGATTGTTGCTATGTTTCTCCGAACGGCCGAGGTGGTGAACTGCAGCTTCGACCAGTCCATGGATGTGAAAGAACTCACATCCCTGGCAAAGCAGATTCAGCTGGCCTACACCCAGGTGATGGAGGGATGCAGGATGGATATGGCAACCATCCCTGCTTTGAAATGGGGAGTATGGATGAAATATGATTAAGCATGATTAAGCTATGGGCCAAGGGTCTGATAGAAAAACCAAGGAACTTTATCAGAAAAAACAGGAAGACACATGTGTGGTTTGGGTGGATTGCCAATGCCATGTCTGAAGCTTGGGCCCCCGATTCCCATAGAATCCCATGATTCATGTGGTAAATCCAATAGCAAACCCCCAAGGAGTCTATGGGAATCAGGGGATTCTATGGGAATATTTGATTTATCCAAAATGATGATGTATGCCCCCAAGGTCTCATCATTTTTTCTTGATGGTTTGTACTTCCCATCCCCGCGACATTGGCTTTCCCATGAACAATGGCAATTTTGGGCACCCTGCGAGGCGCGCAACATGGGCAGTAAGGTGCAGCTGCACTTGACATCGGTGTGCCCCGAAAACCGCGCCATGCGAGCGCTTGAGGCCGGGGTTGAGCCGAAGTGCTGTGGAGGAAAAATGTGCTTGGCTTTGATCTAATTATATCCACTGGTCAGTGTCCTTAACCTCGCTGCATGTGCAGTATTAGCGCCTCTCCCAGCCAAAGTTCAGCAGGGAGCGTGCCCGACGCAATGTTTCTTAACTTGGGGTGGCGCTTCAGCTTGGGTCAAATGTCAAGATCATCCTTTACACAATTCTCTTGGTGGGCCAAGAAATGGTCAAGAAATCACCCGCCTTTTGAATCATGCCTAGAACAATGGCTAATTTCCATGGGATTTTCACCACCAAAACTCCTTTGGAATGGCAGAAAAAAAAGCCACTGCCCAGTCATCCTCAGCCGGTCCAGGCGCAGGGCGTGAAGAGTTGGAAGATGCACGTGCACGAGAAGTCCGTCTGGGAAGTCTTCCGCGACGAAGCCAGGTGGATGGCGTGGCGGCGGGGGGGGTGTTGGCACCAAAGGTGACCAGTGAGAAAAATGGCAGGAAAGTCATGATCAAAGTCATGATGATGATATGAGAACTTTGGGAGCTGTGCTCTTGATGTTTGTACCATCCTCCTTTTTTTTGTTTGTACTGCCAGTTCAACGCTTGGAGTTTTATGGCAATCCAGTGGCAATCCAGCCTTGAGTCGAAGGTCTGGGCAGCTGGTGATTCTCTCGCCCGACGCCGAGGAGGAGAATTTGGCGTAAATACCTCATGGCCTGCGGGCTCAGTATCCCAGAAAACCAGAGAACCCTGGTCATCGCAAAGCAATAACTATACCAATCTTGGAGCCAACCTCCTTGACCCATCCCAAAGTTGCAATGGGAATCTTTGAAGACTTGGCTGGTGGTAGTGGAAGATCGAAGAATGATCAAACATGATGGAACTGTATTCCTCCTGCAATGAATTGAAGGGACCCAACTGGAAGACATCATTTTTGGTCGTGACACTTTCACCACTTTGGGATATTTTTGGCCATGGCCAACCCGGCCATTTTTCTGCCAGGAGTTGACGGAAGTCCTGGAAGACGAGATTTATGTCATCGGTGGCATCGTGGATCGTTCCGTGGGGGAGCCAGTTGATGAATTCAGAGGATGGAAATGATGGAAATGAGAAGTTCACAACACCAGTCCCTTCAAGTTGTGGAGTGCTGACATCGGATTTTTGCTGACATTGACTGATTTCCCAAGTTCGTTTTTTGGGGTGAAGTTGAGGTGAAAAAAATGCAGAGCCTGACCCAAGCCCAAGAGTTTGGCGCCAAGAAGTCCCTAACCTCAGCTGCAGCAGCCGGTGACCAGCTCGGTTCCCGAACTTCGTGTCGTTCCCTAAGGCTCCGGCGGCTCCCATTGAAGACCTTCGGGCCCAAGGGCTGCTGCCCCGTGTTGAACGTGGACTGTGTGGCCTGGATGCCTGGAGGTAAACCTAGTGATAACCCATCCCCCTAAAACCAACCATTTGGGGCAATGATTTTTTGGCTTTTAATACCACAAAAAAAGGTAGTTGAGAGACTTTATGATATATCAGGGTGTCACGCTGCAACTACTTTGGGGTCAAAGGTTGTGGTAGGTATTTTTTTCTGAGTGAGAGGGGGATAATTTAGCCGATAAGTTACTTTGCATTGTCATTTTTATAGCTAAAGTGAGTGACTTCCCTGATTGTAGGACGTGACACTTCATTGCGGCATCACTCGAAACATTACACTTATGGCATCTTATGACTTATGATCATATATGTATCTAGTTACATACATATAACATAATCTAACGATACTTTAATACATATTTTAAGTGGCTTCGATTTCATCCCGCAGCCGCCTCACTGGACGGCGCACACCGCTGGCTCCGATGTCGACGGAGGTGCGCGGAAGTGGAAATGGAAGGGTCTAGCCATAAAATGGCAACTTCATACGAGTTAATATAGAGTAAAATTACGCGCAAACACCCTTGTAAAATTACAACTTAACAGAACAAGCGCCCCCCCCCCAAACAGGTGCCGAATATATGTGGAACATATGTGGAAAACATCATCGAACTACCATCCCTGGAAATGCTCTTCTATCTCTTTCGGGGTTGGGTAGGAACATGATGATAAACCATTGCATTTTCAGGGTGGCTGGGTAGGGATGATTCGGCATTCTCAAGGGTGATGTTTTTTGTGGACATTGTTTTCCGCAAATGAGGGGCCCTTACCACTTGTATCCAAACGCCGAACACTCTTTCATTGAAAATCCAGAACTTGGCAGCTGGCAGTTCGTGCCTCCTTTTTACCTGGGATTGAATCCCAGCAGGAATGGCGCATCGCTGAGATGGAAAGAGAGCCTCTTGATGCTTCAGAGCGGTCAGAAACGGAGGTCAGCTGTCTGGGAGGTTGGCGCATCCGATCCCAAGCAGCGGGATTCACAGCCACACCTTGGCAGGACTTGGATGATATGCTGGTGATCCAGAAGCTCTGTGGCGGACAACGTGAAGCCATAGTGCCTTGGTGACGGCTTCCAGTTGGTTCATTATGCTGGTGGCATTTTTGATCATGGAAAAGTGTCATGTCCAAAATTGTGCCCCCCCTTAAGGATCATCAGGGTGAAGTGAAACCTTGGGGTTGGGGGTCATTGCTTCAGGCCAAAACCATGTGAGCTTAGGCGCTGGTCCTGCTGGGCGTCTTGTGTTTCCTGGGTCTCCTCCAGTTGAGATGAGGCCAAGCCCCGGTGGTCACGGGGATGTATTTTTTTGGGGGGAGCCGGGGGAGATGATTTTGGGAAGGGCTCCTAAGCATTTCAGAAGTAGAATTCCCTCAGATTCAGGAAAATTTACTCTCATTGTCCTAAGCATCCAGCTTTCTTTGGTGCCCAATAGTGACCCAAACCGTTGGAAGCCCCGGCAAAAAATAGTGACTCATATCTAAGGAGTGGCCAGAGTGAAACTTGCTTCCCCACTTTGAACCTCGCACTGATTGGATTCCCATTCTCGTTCGACTTCCGGCGTTTTTCACGCAGTTCAATACCAGATTCCTGATGATTTGTGCAGCGGGCAAGGTGACAGCGATGTGGATGTGAATTTCAAGTATGCTCAAATACTGTAGCAGTGATTTAGGGATTAGGGACTCTACTCTAGTGACTTAGTTGCTTGCATGGCACCCAGACTGATGCCGAGGGGCCTTATTTGGTTTTCAATCAGATGTCAACCCTAGAGAAGTCCTTGGACCGCCGGCCCTTTCGCACAATCAATTTGTTGGGTGACATTCTCCTCGCCCCGCACCACTTTGGTGTGCTCGTGCCGAAATTCTTCCACCCTCCCACTCGTAGTGGGGTGTTGGTTACACCGTTTCACTGAAACTCACCGCAACACCAGCTGAAGTGGAAAAGCGCCGAAGTTGAGACAGCTGAATGATTGAGAAACTGAACTGTTGGCACAGTCTGGTTAGTGTGGTTCATCATTTAATTGAAACCTTCTCAACCATGACAGCTGAAACAGTGGCATGTGGCAATCCCAGGTCCGAATCCTTTGCGAGTGGCTGAGGGCGCGGGACTGGTCTGGGGCTCAGACAAAGGCTTTCCTTTCCCTCAGGATCCGATCCTTAAAGTATGTTGTGAATTTGTAGTTCAGTTCTAATCCAAATTCACTGGGGGGTTGAAAAACTGAACATCTCAGTTCTATCTCCCCCAAATTTTCCACCAAATCTTTGTAGGGAAAATTCCCCCAGCGGCCCCAAGGAGGGAGGTCTTCGACGAATGCCTTCCGGGGCGGCGGTTGGGAGATCGCCCTGTGCCTTGGGTCGCAGCCAGCCCAGCAGCCTTTTATAATGTATAGTTTGCTGTGGTGGTCCAGTCTGGGGCTTTAATCTGGCTGGAATCTCACCTATTTCTAGATCTTTTATCTTTTTCTGGTATTTATACCATCCCCACGGAAGATAGAAAAGGACATCCCCATGAAAGTAGTGAAGATTCACTTGCAGATACTTACATCTTGAGATCCCCCATGGTAAGAAAGTAATTAGCAATTTTTCACTTGTCTTCCTATGATATTTGATTGACTGTCATCTGCCACACTTACACCTGCTTTTTCATGGCTTCAACATGCTTCAACCACCATTCTTCTTGGATTTGATGATGCCACCCCCCAAACAGACAGGACAGATTCGAAAAGTAAGAACGCGCAAGAGCCTGTCCAAATAGAAAGGCACATGGTTTTGTCCCATGTTTTTTCTATGGTTTTCCTAGGTTTTTCATGGTCTTTCCTATGTTTTGTGGGGGTTGTGATGTTTAGCCACCATTCCGCGGATGCGCGTAGGTCATGTCGAAGCGCCAGCGGCGCACGCAGAGAGCGCTGGAGCGATCACAGGTGGGCGGATTGAGATGAATTGCCAAATGGGTTCATCCGTTTTTTGTTGGGGGGAATTGCCCTCCAAATCCCCTAAGATACTCTAAGATCCAATTACTTCTAGAGTGTAGAGTCTATCTCTCTCTCTCTCTATATACATATACATATATACATATATACATAACTATATATATATATATTTGGATTTTTTGGGGAGGACATTTCCCCCTGACCCACCAGCATGAAATTATGTCTGCAGTTTATCTGAAATTGATGGCAACATCTCCAACATCCAGTGGTATAAAGCCTTGATTTTTCCTTGGTACATTTACACTTTGGGGATGCCTGCTACTATTGAACACACAATCCAACGAAGAGAATGCGTGGGTTGAACGGATTATTTTTTTGGCTCTCAACCTTTCGAACATATTCAACTTGGAGGAGTTGAGCCAGGAAAACTTGAGGGGTGAACGGGCAAAGATGAACTTCTCTGGGTGTTCTTTTGGGGGAACGCCGAGAGAAAATCATCGTTGTTCGTCCTGGGAGTTCAAGAAATTCTTCCACCTTTGTGTGTTTTCCATTGGGAGAGAGATGTGGAGATGGCAACCACGAGGTTTTTGGGGATATCACCACGAAGAAGCGACCAGAGTGGGGATGTATGAAACACGGCAACCTGAGAATGAGTCAATCAAGGCCTAAGATGAAATACCCGCCCTATCGAAACCTTGGTTTCGTATTCACTCTTTGTTCTATCTCACTACTAACATCGCTGTTCAATCCTCATGTTTGATCCTCCACAGTGACTATACATGTCTACCATTTTGTTGATTAAATCGCTTCAGTCCCAGAAAGTTCACATAGTTCGTTGAAACGTTGAATCCCATTGTTTGGTGCTTCAACCGCCCCACTTCCTTTGCCAGGGCGAGACGGGCTCTCCGGATGCTGGGTGTAGCAGCGATGGCAACGATGGATGAAAAGGGGTGCACCGCTGGCAGCTGTTGCTTGTTTGAAGTGGATGCAGAAAAACCATGAAAAAAACAGCAAATGACTGGGATTTCTGTGTTTTTTCCACCCTTAAATCCATCTTGAAGCCAGCATTCGAATCCGTTTGATGGGTCAAACAGCTTCAAAATAAGGGGCATTTGGCCTTGAACAAGTGGGGGGGATGTCTGAAACTTGGGAAGCCCATATGCTTTTGAGCCCTGAACATGTGATAGGACCTGATAGGAATGAAGCTATGTATAATTATATATATATATATTTTATATATATAATACCTAAATGGTATTTACTATGGACCATCCCCAATTTTCATAGATCATTCGGGTGTTTCGCTCGGCCCCAGCACCCTGTGCTTCACGGACTGAGTCTTCCTGATTGGATCAAGGCTGACCTGACCCCAACCCTTCCCCCAACATGCCATGGTTCATCAAATTGCAGGATGTTTTGCCCACAGATTTGCAGCAACAACACCTTTTGCTTCTTCATCCTCCCTGCATTGAGATCTTGGGAGGAGCGGGACACTCCCGTCCCTGTCCCTTCGCCCTATGTCGCGGGCTGCAGAGCTTGGGGTGAACGAGGAGCAGCCCATGCTGCCGGGCTGGTGGCCATGAAATGATGAAGTGATTGCAGCTGCAACAATGAGATCCCACCACCTCTTGAAATATCAAGTTTTCCTGGCATCCCATCCCTTCATCGCTGATCTTTCTTGGTTGCTTCATTGATGTCGAATTTCATGGATTGCGCGCCTTTTTCCAGAGTCCTTGTCATGCCGAAGGAGCCCAGAAGCTTCAAAGCTGAAGTCTGGGACCAGACTTGCTTGGCCCTGCCCATTTGCGCTGGGCTGCTGTCAACACAGGCAGGATTTGGGTTTCCATTTAGGGTGCTAGGTGGCATGATGCACTTGTCCTGACAAAGTAGGAATGGATGACGTTCTCAACAACTTGGGAACCCTCAAGATTCCACCAAATTCCCCCTGCAGAGGCGCCTTTTTGGGGAAGAAACCCAAGTCCTTGGGACACATCCCAAGCTGGTCATCGGGGCAGCCAGGTGGTGAACACCGTGTCCACTGTGTTGGTGGGACACCTGGGCGCCAGGGACCTGGCAGCTGTGGGTTTAGCCGTGAGCCTGGCCAATGTGACAGGCTACAGCGCCACCCGGCGGTGACACGGGGGACGTGGTGGTGGCTACCCTCTGGTAATTTAACATAGCTATTGAACATGGCCATTTATAGTGGATTTTCCCATTGAAAATGGTGATTTTCCATAGTTATGTTAGTTTACCAGAGGGTATGTGCATTCCAAAGGTGGTTTGGAACCTACAGATCCCAATTCCTCCAGCCAATTGTCAGCGCAGATCTCCCATCTCAGGTGATAGTTGGAGTGGCCACCACCCTTGGAACCACCGCGGGTCAAGCCTTTGGCGCCAGACACTTTCAGGAAGTCTCCCTGGGCCTTCAACGCTGCGTGCTGCCACTCGTGTTGAAGTGGCCCTGGGAGGATGACCTCAAGGGGTGCTGAGCAATTTCTTTGAATCAGGAAGTGGGTCAGTAGATGTTAATAGTATATACGGTACCGGTAGATACGGGTTTTCTACAGCAGAGTGAAGAAGGCACATTTTTTGCTGGATGTGACAGCCAAGACATTTCATTCGTCGTCCTCGTCGCTAGATTCTCATTGCAGAATAGACGGCCCCACTAGCCACGGAGCTTGTGCGTGTCCACATACTTGAGGGCGATCAGCAGCTTATCACCCGATCCATCTTCCCCATCCCACATGCCACATTTTTGTGTCTTTGTTGTATCACCCTAACTATTGACCGAAGCCCAGTGCAAGAGAGTGCAAGAACAGGCAACAACCACCCCAACCAGCCTTAGATTAGATTCTCCCCTCCCAAATCCTCACCTTGCCGGGAACCTTCGGTCACCTGGACAGCCTGTTCCCTGCGGCTTGATCTGCAGGCTGTGCTGCGCCCTTCTCATCCTGGTGGGTGCCATGTGGTTCCACAGCCACCGCCTGCTGTTGCTGGTGGGTCAGGAGGAGATCATCGCGGCTATGGCGGCGAAGTATCTGCGGATCCTGTTCCCAGGCCTGTGCTGTTTCATGGTCACCCAATGCCTGCAGAGCCCTGGCAGAGTGGTTTGGTGGGGATTGGTTTGCTGCTGCTTCCCAAAGCATCGTGGTTTTTCTCCAGCTGACTTTCCGAGCTGGCTTGAAGGCTTGAATCAACCAAAATTCTTGCAGCCTTTCAAGAACTGAATGCGTCCATAGCTCTCAGCCCCGTTGTCATCCCTAGGCTCTGGCTGGCGGCACAACGCGTCACCGGCATCCAAGCCTCAAGCGGCGCCCTGTTGGCGCTGGTGCACCTGCCGCTCTGCTGGTACCTGGTGGATCACCTGGGCTACCTGGGGGCGGCCATCGCCACCTCTGCGGGGAACTTCCTGCGGATGTTGTGGGTGATCTTCAAGCGACTTGGGATTTCTTGGGATGGGACCTGGTGGCGGCCAGTGGGATTTCAGGGGGGGATTAGAAGATGTTCAGTCAGAGGGTTGAAGTTGGATGGTTGGGGCCCGAGCAAATTTGCTCATTACAAGTCTGGTTAGGCTGGGGCTGTTGGATGACAGTCACACTCTCCAAGCGAGGCAAGTTAGGGCTTAGGCTATATGGGTCGCTTGCAGCCCTTGAAAAGAGATAAACCAGGTTGACTCTCAAAAACCGGAATGGTTTCCGCACTGATCATCAAACCTATGTACCTTTGACTCTGAGCGGATACACCTCTCCACACCCTCAAGCCAAGGCTTTTCAAGCTGGAAAAGCCATAGAACACCAAAATTGTTTGGCCATCATTGCTGTTGAAGATCGGGGTGATCTCCATGACTCTTTCTCTTTCTCTTGGAATATCTTCTGATTCCGGTGGTTAAAGATTGCCCGACCCAAGGAATCCAATCAGGTGATCTGAACCGAGAAGTCTTTACAGCCGTAGTTGATCTCAGGACCTGCCGCGCGCTGAGAGATTTAGAGAATTCCTGGCAGGGACTGTCGAAACTGGCCTTGCGAGGACTGGGGGGGTGGAATCTGATGGACTTTCCACACTGGATTTCCCAGGCCAGAGATTTGGATCAGGCCCATGTTACAAAGTGGATGACCCATGATGTAACAATCATCAAACATCTAGATACAAAAAAAAAACTCCAGAAAATTCATCCATCCCCATTTTCCCTTCAAAGTTCCCAGATCTTCCCAGATTCCTCAGTTCTTCTCCCTTTGATTCTCCAGGATGACCGCAGTTTTTGCGCCTAGCGGTGCCCAATTTTCTGATGATCTCGGAGTGGTGGGCTGCTGAGATCATCGTGCTGCTGGCGGGGACCCTTCCAGGAGCTGAGGTCAGCCTGACGGCCATGGCCATCTTTTCCAACACCTGCTGCTTGGATGCCCTGACATGGGTACTGAGAGGGTTGTTCATTTTTAATCCCCCCAAGAAATAGCGAAATAGTTATAAGTTATAAGTTGTTCTTTTTCTCCGCTTCGCTTTGACCTCACCAGAAATTGAGAGGGAGAGAGAGAGAGAAATGATTAGTATCATCCCGATATATCCCTATAATTCGGTGGAGATTATCACTACAACTTGCCCGCCCGAAAAAAATCGGGCGCCCTCTGCCAGAGGCTCCATATGTTTCTACTTCCCTTGTGGCCTGGCAGTCGCCACCAACACGCGCGTCAGTAACGAATTGGGCGCTGGGCGATGGGCCTCCGCCCGTTTCGCCTCCAACGTGAGTCTGCTGTTAGGCCTGGGCTTGGTCTGTTGCACGCGGCTTGGATGTGGCTACCAGGTTTGGGATGGGGGGTTGGAAGCTGTTGAAGTAGAGAAGATTGAGATATTGGAGATGCTTCCGGGCAATCTGTAAGAGACTAGGATGTGGACTCAGTCAAGATTTTGATGGTAGAGGCCCGAGGCTGACGAAGTTCATTGCAGGGATTCAATCACGGATGTGTGTTTCAGCTTGCCGGGAATCAAAGCCAGAAACTCCTGGTTTGGTTGGATCTTTCAACTGGCTCTTGCGTGCAGTGTATGATTGGTTCTACACCAAGCCAATTGCTTCTCATCTGGGGAGATGAGGACTTCAAACGAATCGCATTAAATTTGAGCAACAGGCGGATGCAGAAACGGGTACAAAACTGACTCGGTAGAACAATTTTTGCCGACAAAACCACAGAGGCCCATCCTTAGCAATATGCATGATTCTGCCAAATATATTCAAACATAAGAATGTATATTTATTTATTTATCGATAAATAGATAAATAAATCAATCAACCAATACATACATAAATAGATAAATAGATAAACGCATAAATCAATAGATGTAAACATAAATAAACATATGTATAGGCGCACACACACACATATATATGTATGTATGTATGTATGTATGTATGTATGTATGTATATATATATATAAACACACATACATACATATATGTATATATATATATTATAATATATATATATACATATATGTATGTATGTATATATATATAAACACATACATACATATATGTATATATATTATAAAAAATATACATACATATATGTATATATATATATATATACATACGTGATAATCACTAGACCTGAGGTCCCTGGCCGTGCTCTTGGGTCGCGGCCTTTTCCTGCGGCTCTTCACCTCGGACCGGACGGTGACTCGGCTTCTTCGTCCGGCGGTGGGTTCCATGGAGAGACCTCGCTGGATGGGTACGGAAGATCGAAAATAGGTGGATTCCCCAAGAGCTGGATGGTTTATAATAGGAAAGCCTACTAAAATATGGATGATGAACTGGGGGCAGCCCCGAAATGTAGGGAAACCTCGATCCGGAAAAGAAGGGTCAATGTGGGTATCCCAAAGGGAGCTAATCCATCATAGAATCAGTCAATAACATTCAATAACCACTTCTGGATCCTAAGATCCTGTAAAAATCTGTAGTGATGTGGTGAACCCAATAGTAACAATAACAATCATCATCCTGGATGATTCCTGAGATATAAAGAGATATAATCATAGTGGATATCACTTGGATATGATTGGATTCTCAATGGTCTCGACCAACACTGGTGGGTGAATGTAGGTAATCCATGAGGGGGTAAATATCCATCTTCATAGATTCAGTCAATGGTTAACTGGCAGTGACTGGGACTTTCAAAACTTATTCATGTGGTAAACCCCAAAATAAATTATCCCCAATAGACCTTCGTGAACTTGGCTCCACCCCTAGTAATTGGAGGATCTTTCCTTTATGACCTATAAGTCATGAGTTGTATATATATATATATAATATATCTATATATATATAGAGATGCCCACCTACATGCACCCAATAAGCCCTCGTTGACCCGTCAATCTCCAAGGTGGACTCCGTGGCAGAGCCGGTGCTGTTGATCTGCGCGGCCTACGTGGTCCTGGACGGCCTCACCATCGTGCTGTGCGGGGCGCTGAAGGGCTGCGGCCGACAGATGTTGCAGGTAGAGATGGTGGGGGAGTTCAGGTGCAACAAAGGGGTTGACATGGGACAAAAACCAATAGAAAGGGGGAATTTCATCCAAACCAATTGGGATTTCATGCAAAAAAACATCATTTGGGTGATTGAAGTTGACAAAACTCCGGTTCCGGTTGATGATTGTTGGGGGTTATGCAGCAGCCTTCATCTATTAAGGAGCGTCATCAGTCATGAACTGGGAATTTTGGAAATTGGGGATTTATCTGATTTGGCCAACAGAAATAGGGGATGTCTGATGGGTTGGAGCCCAAGCGATGATGTGTTTGAAGTGAAGATGTAAGTTTAAACATCAAAATCATTCGGAAAGTATGAGCAAGTGAGATGTGAGGCGGCTGCCGGAATAGAAGGGACTTCCACTTTCTCATCTTCCAACCGTGAACCTCTGAAGTTGGGACATTTATAGCTCTGCACCGCACTGAACTCACTGAGAACTATCTGAAATGCAAGCCATGAAGTAGTGCTTTAGAGACCACCAAAAAGCACCATGTGAACCAAAGCCTAAGCTTCTTCCATCATCTCGAGGCTCCCATAGTAGTGGCTTCCTACTACCTGCTGGGCATCCCTTTCGCGTACCTCATGGCGTGGCCTTGCCATCTGAAGACCTTCGGCCTGTCGCTGGGTGCCCTGCTAGGTACCTTCAGCAACTTCCTGGGCTTTGCGTTGCTGGTGCTATGCACCGATTGGCGCCGCATGGCGGAGGTGGTGGCGCAAGGCGTGACGCAAGGTGTGGCCACTGGGGCCAGGGGCAGTGCCAAGAGAGGCAGCGGAGCTGGCTTGCTGGAGGGATAGAAAAGATGCCGCGGATGCGGGGGTGTTGAATGATGGGCGGCGTCCTCTATGAGGGATCATCCTGTTAAAGACCTTAATCCAACCCCTCAAACCCGTCCAATAACCTTTCCCTTAAGAACCAACCAGACTTGCCAGATCTTGCCAGAAACCCATGGTTGTACCCCAGCCCTCCGTGGCATTTGCAGTTTCAAGTTCCGCACTGTGGGTCGTTTCGCGCCCAGTGCACCGCCGTCAACATCCAACGATCAATTCTTGCCGAAATCATCAGCATCTCATAGCACCCCCAAACTTTTGAAGGTACTTTTGTCATCCAAAAACATTCAAACGAGAATTTGAACAAACATCCAAAACTGAAGCTTTCAAAATGCTTGACCAATTGATCAATTGATGTTCTGAACATTGTCGCATTTGGTGTGGCTTGTCTGTGATCTTCTTGCATTGACGCTAATGGCGGCCCTGACGCGGCACTTGCGGGTCGCGTTGCATGAAGGGTGCTTGCGCGCGCCACGACGTGTGGCACGACCTCCTGTTTACACAGGCTGGATGGTGGAGCGTGCGTAAATTTCAATGAATTTCCTGCTGGTTGGGTAGGTGGGTCAGATGAGACCTGGAATAGCTGCCCCACAATGTGCTGCTCAACAGTGCATGTTTGCAAGATATATCCAGAGCACACGGAATGATGGAGGTGGTCCTCTAATAGAATCGTAGACTCGTAGGCCGAAGCCAAAGAGAGACAAGCACCGCTGAATTTGAAGCCAACTTCATTCATTTCATTCTCCAAACTGATGGTCATTTGCCGAATCCCCAGCCATGCCATTTTTGGACGAGGGCCCCAGCCATCCCCAGCCCCCCAAAAGCCCAGCCCTTCGCCAGAAAGGCTTGGTCCGTTGCACGGCAGCGGGATCTTCCAGTGATGCGGTCACGCCTCAACGCCCTGAGAGTTGTGGGGGAACCTGGAACCATCCGGAGGGGAAAAGATCCAGGGGGAAATCTGAGTGTCTGAGTCAACCAGCGGGTTGAATATATATATATATATAATTAATTATAATTATATATATATAATTAGATGATATTAGAATATATTAGATGTATTTTCATTTGTATCATCCTTATTTCCTGTTAAAACATTATACACAAACCAGCCCAAAACGGTGGTTTCTTTTTAAGTTTTTTGTGTCCGGATAGCTTGGATTGGTCAGAGTTACTGCAAACCCCAATTTTGCCGGAGATGATTGGAAGATGTGTGATGTTCCGCTGAAAGTTACACTGTTTTTTTGGGGGGGTTGGTAGCTCAACCGGAAAAGGATTGAACAATATTGAACATGCGTTCCATATATGGTGAACCAATGGTGAACACATACTCCACACACACTATTTGTGTGCACTATTTATGCATCATGCAGATATGATACCACCCATTTTTGGCCGCCTTTGGCTGCAAGAATCGGCCGCCTCTCAGGGCAGTTGAGGGCACACCTCATCAACTCGGCCACTCGACGCTCCATTGCTGGGGATTGGTGAGAACCACCCGCGACTGTTTGTTAATGGGTTTGACACATGAACCTGCCTGATTGGTTGATGACATGTATGGTAGTAATGGTACCAGTCTCACCAGTGGAGATGGAAACAGAGAGTAATGCTACCTACATTATGCCTACTAGATTTGCTAGAGTTTTCGGCTAGCTTGGGCTACTTGGGGATTCACTTCGTTTCGCAAGCAGTGCAGGTAGCCTCAATCATAGTGGGAAAATAGAACTCATCCCACAGTCTAGTTATCATTTGCTTGATTCCTTGCGACCAGGTATACAATGATGCAATGTCAGTACCAATGTATCATGATTTATACATGTAATATAATATAATATGCATGAATTATGAGTGTGAATGTAGATTTACACATTCAACATGAAGGGATCACTTAAGATTTCTGAATCAGATCCCTCCAGGCAGTCCCCATGGTGGCCTTTGGATTCATGGACAACTCAGCAGCTCGGCGCCAGTGGAGACTTCATGGGTTTGCCACGTTGTGCAAGTGGGGGAACAGGGGAACACGAGACAGCAGGTTTACTACTCATGCTGAGCAAGGTTGGGCAATTACCCAAGTGCACTTCTGAAACCAAACATGTATTCTCAAAATTGCATCCATGCGATGCCAGAAACATTTTAGTTGGTACCATTGGGCCATTGGGCATGTTATAGTGCATTTTTTGAGTGCTGAATTCTTTCTTCCATGATGCAAGGTTCCGACCATTTTTTAACCTTCCCAGGAAGACAGATTTGACAGGGGGGTGTCATTCAGCTTTTTGTTGTCCTTTCTGGCAATGTTGCAGCACGCGCCATTCCTACAAAAACACGGCCCGGCTCGATCTTCGGCCGAGCCGCCCGTTATTCGCAGTATTTGACGGCTGGGATCTACGATGATGGGCCGGGGAGGGCAAACCCTACCCCATTCTTGGGCCAGGTCCCTTTTTCCAGTTGCAATGTGATGATGCTATGATATGGTTTTCTTAGAACACCTTTTTGTCGATGAAGATCTTTGGCGATCATTTTTGTGGACCGTTTCAGACGATGCAAAACTCATTTTAAGACAATGTCATACCTTCTTAGGATCATGTGGTCAACAATTTCCAAACCATTTCAGGCGTATTTTGCACTATTCAATTTGAAAAAAACGAGTTTGGTTCAAAACCACAAAAACTCTTCGGTACGAACATGGCTTGCTGGAAAGTTTCGGGATTTCCCAGCCATGTTTGATGAGACCGGAGGGTAACTACCCTGCAGGGTTTAAATTATGGCATAATATGGGTTTATGCACAGAAAAATACACATAATCTATAGTCTATAGTGAATAGAATATATAATATTATCCAGTTATTTTGAAATAGATGGAACAGCAAATCCCTGTAGCACTTTGATGATTCATTTTTCCATTTATTTGGGATGATCTAGATGGATAGATAGATGGATAGATAGATGGATAGATAGATAGATAGATAGACAGATAGATAGATAGATAGATAGATGGATTATATATATATATGCATACACAACTATGGCACGCCCCACAGCTTCCCATCTTCCCCTCAGGTCATGCTGCACGCGGGCAACGCCATCGATGCCACCCTGGGGGTCACCTTCGGCTTGAGCACATTGGCGGCCGCGGCCTGCGGGCAGTGCCTTGGACCGCGGCGCATCGCGGCGCAACGGAAACCGAGATTTCGCCCGGCATAAGCCACAGACGTGGTGCTACAACGGGGCTAGAATGGGATATATCTGATATATCTGGATATATCTGGATATATCTGGATACATTTGATCACGACTTCACGACTCGCGACGTCACTGGAATTTATGATTCGAAGCATCTCACAAACGACCGAACCTTTGAGGTTGGTGAATTCTGATCAAGAAAAATCTAGCCATGTCAACTCTGGATGAATAAACCCTAATTAAACATCCAGGAGTTTAAGCCCCCAACAAACAACGATCATTTGCTACACGACATGGTGCAATTAACCCCCTGGCTGTAACGATTGGATGGTCGATCCACTGAGGGTTTGTTCCGATGTGGCTGGAGCACCTTGGCATGGCACTGAATACTGCTTCTCATCCTACAAAAAAATGATTTTTGATGGGGGAACATGATGGAAAATGATGATTCAGCATTGGAGTTCCGGGGCAACCCATTTTCAGACAAACCCACATTGTGACATGTATCCACATTTTCTTGCCCAATTCGGACATAGGGCTGCAAAAGGGCAAGCAATGTTTAAGTGACAGGTGTTATCAAAGAAACAAGCCGCCCTGGCCCCAATATGTTTTTTCAGTATTCACATCACAAACAAAACCACTTGCAGAACTTTTGGTTGAAGTATCAGCCTCAAGATGATCCATTTAAGATGATTCAAGATGATTCAAGCATCAAGAACCAAAAAAAACATGGGGATAGAGTCACCATATACCCTCCGGTAAACTAACAGTTTGCTATCGAAAATCGCTCTTTTATATAGGTAGATCAACTATAAATTGGCCATTTTCTATAGCAATGTTAGTTTACCAGAGAGTAAATCTCCACAAAATCATCATTTCTAGTGGTTCAATCTCCATTAAATCACCATTTGTTGGTTGGTAAATCAACTATAAACCATCATTTTCCCACATTTTTCCCCATTTTTTTTGCACCAGGTCACCTTTGGCGGGGTCATCGAAGCCTTGGCCTCCAAACTGGGGCTGCCCTCCGCGCACCTCTCCGAGGAGACGGCGCTTCGGAGCTCGGGAGATTCCCCCAAAAACGTCATGATGAATGGAACCCTCAGTTTAATGGTTTAATGGTACCCTCTATGACTATTAAAACTCTATGACTCTGTTTTTTCTTTAATGGTACCCTCCAAATTCAACAGCCGTTTGGGGTTTATGAAAATCAAGGGTTGACATTATATATATATACATATACATGTGTGTGTGTAGTCATCCTCAGATGGAAAAAAGTAAATTCAGGATTAGAATCATTGAATAGTGAAGATTGCTACTTTTCGATTTTTTCCGGGGTTTGCTATAGTGATAATATAGCGATAATATAGAACCTGATGATTGGTGATTAATACATGTTTAATTACAAGATAATATCATGGCAGTTTTCTGGGGATATCCAGTGCTTATATTGATTTAGGTTCGCGAAGTACAGTGACTTTTTGGTTGCATCATTGTGTAGATTTAGGTCCTATTTTTTTTGGGAGGGGTTTAAACCTCCGAGCTTTATAGTGAAGTATAGAATCGATCACTTCGATCAGAAAAAATAGATTTAATAGATTTCAGATCTATATTGACAATATGCCTATAAAATCTGGACCTATAAAAGTATTGATAGATTTGACATGATTTGATATGATTTAGTGATTTAGTTCTAGAATTCGTGGAAAAAACATTAGACAACACAACATTGAGCTATGAACTATTTTCTGATGACATTTCGTAGAACTATTTTCTGATGATATTCAGGTTGATTAGGGTTAATCCATGCCCATCAAATGTCCCATGTCAGAAAACGGCTGGATTCTGCCAGGAGCAGGTCGGCATGGGGGTCGTGAAGCGTGCCGCTAGGATGAAATCGCAGCCGGCTGTTCAAAAGCCTGGTGGTTGATGATTATAGGGAATTATACTAGGGATATATTATATAGTATAGTATAGTATATAGTATAGTATGCTAGGGATATATTATACTACTGATTATAGGTGATTGATGATTATATAGTATATTGGGTAATATATTATACTATATTATACTACCCAATATGCTGGGGCTTGGATGCCTTCGCAGATCTTCGCAGTTCTGCTGCCATTGCAGTTGAGACTTTCAAGCCGTTAGAGGAAGTCATATGGGACCTGAAAAGTGGGGTCGCAAGTGGATGATGTCATTTTTGCATTCGATGATTTTCTGGGGTTCATGCCATGCTGGTATTTTTTGGTCGATCACCATATTTCAAAGCTTGGGTTTGATTGTTGAACAATGTTGAAGGGGTGTTTGATCACATTTTTGATCACACTTGATAATCACCATATCCACATGACAATGAGTTGTTGGTTGTATCTCCATGAGGATCTCCTCACTCCTTAGGTGGGTCTCATTGGAAGTGTCCTGGGTGTGCCCGGGGCCCTGGACCCGACTGGCGGCATCATGGGCAGATAGATGGGTAAACTTTGGATGGATAGTTGAATTGTGTAATCTTTTGCCATAAACGGGGATATGATGGGATACCCTCTGGTAAACTAACATAACTATGGAAAATCACCATGCCAAAAAATGGGTATATCAACTATAAATGGCCAGTTTCCATAGCAAACTGTTAGTTTACCAGAGTTTTTTTTTTTCCGCCATGAAGCTTCGCCATTGGTTTCTCAAGCGAGAGTGTCGGCCGTCGATTCGATCGTAGGATGACAGGATGCTCCTTGGGGCTGCTGAACTTGTTCATCATTGCGAGGGCACCCAGGGCTGTGAGGCTGGCGGCTGGCACCAAATTCCTCAGTGGGTCCGACATTCCGGGAGGTTTTTTTTTTAAAAAAAAATTGGAGGAGCTGGGAACATTACTACTATTATTACTATTGTAATTACTGTATGTTTATTATTATTATTATTAATTATTATTATGATTCTTCTTCTTATTATTATTACAATATATACATATATATATATTATGTAGAAAAATATTGTGGGGAGTTTTCCAGCGAGCCAGGGAGCTGATTCTCTGGTTACAGATCCCTCAGGCCTTGGCCCCAAGTGGCCCCCCGGTCCAAGGATACGGACCGCACCAGGGAGTTGAAGCTCGCAGCGGAGACGGAAGCCAGCGGGCGGGGGTCCCTAAGAGCTGGATGGTTTTAATGGAAAATCCAACATCCCATGATTTAGGAAACCCTGATGTGGGTATGGGTCAATACCTATAGATACATTTTTAGTGGGATGAACATCCATTTACCAGCTATTTTGGGGTTCACTAGGTACCAGGGTTTTGACCCATCCCCATGTCTTGCCAACAGATGTTGGAGGGTATTTCCTTCCAGCCATTGATGAGGACAGTTTGGAGGAATTGGTCAAATCTGCAGATGCGCCCAAGATACCCCAAGCTGGCCATATGCCACCCAGGTTTAGCATCACTATGAGCAATGCCTGGAACTAAGCCTGGGTTGGAGATGGTTTTCCAGGCCATGTTTGAGTACCTGAGGGTACATCTCATTAACATCTCCTTTTTTCTCTTGGTTAAATCCCTATTAGTCACCATCAAATTCAATGAAATCAACCTAAGATCGCCATAGAAACCCCAGTGAAACATCCAATAAAATCACCATAACATCACCATAACATTTCTACCGGGATTTCCATGCTGTTTTTTTTCGTGCCAACGAGTGCGCCCCAGAACACTCGTCCGGACTTCACTGCGATCACGGTGGAAGGCCCCACCGATGTGCCAGGCGAAGCTGGGAGAAATCTGATGGGATTTTCCCATGAGACGCTGAGATAAATCACTGGTAACTGTTGAGAAACACTGGCAATGGAAAGTGACAATATATTGAAAATCACTGTTAGATTTACAATGCCGGGTATTATCTTTTTTTTTTGAAAGTTGATAATATATTGATGTTGAGTAATATCAACAATCCAAGATCAACAATCCAAGCTATTGCCAGTGTTGGGAAATATGTATATAGAAACACTTGTAATCAGTGTTGGTATTCCGATCATGTTGATATAGAAACACTGGAAAAACTGGGGCTTTTCTTGCCTGGCTAGCCGCTTGGCTCGCCTTTGGCTAGACTCCTGGAGATGGCGATGGAGAGATAGAAACACTGGATCAAAATTTCTGAGGTAATTATAATGACCAGATCATACCAGATCAATGGAGGTAATTTACAGTAATTTTGTCATTGGGTAAATTACAATCATCAACCATCAAAATTACCCTATAATGGCATCATTCGGCAAATTATAGTGACCAGATCAATGATGTTTACCCAATTGGTAATCACCGACCGGCCAGTTGGGTAAAAAAAATCGTGACCTCACGTCGTGACCGAACCCTGGAATCATGGTGAACGTATAGGGGAATTATCCCCAATAATTCAATATAGCCTTCAGGGTAATGAAATATTGCAATTTACCCAGACCCATATTTTGATGGTTGATACCATGCATTTGTGGTAAAACTGGGGATGGTTTACTATTGCTTTACCGACAGTATTCACCTTTTCCATTTTTTTTGGGGTTACTATAGGTTATTGCTTTGGTAATTTTCGTATGAAGTATCATGAGCCATGTGTTTTTTGTGTACCAAGTTGGAAGCCAACATGATTTGGTCTTGAGTCTTGAGTCTTATATATAGTTGTTTTGACAAAAGGCAAAAACACGGGGACATGTGGCAAGGTTCATGCTGAAGAGTTTGGTCGAGTTGGGGGGTTCTCAATTTTGGGATTTTCAATGGACAAAGAAGTGTGGATGAGCAAAGTAATCAAACCTTGCAATTGGAAGTCCCCTGTAAATGCAGGTTCTAATGGGAACATCATCTACAAACTGTGGATTTCACATTGCCATGTTTGATCACCAGAGGGTAGGCTAGATGGTCTTCCGCCTCGCGAGGATGGATAGGTGGACAGACATGTAAGTGGATAGGTCCATGGATAGATGGATAAATAGATGGTACGTAGATGGAAGATTAAGATGAACGACCTGAAACCAAGCATGAGATAGGTAAATGAAGATGATGAGATGAGCAAACCAATCACGAACAAACCGCAGGATGTGATCTATACAATTCATTCTACATTCACATTAGCATTGATTCTAGATACATGCCAATGACCTCACAGTAACGTTACTGGAATGATGGTTTACAGAAAACATCCACAAATGGCAGGAGATATCAACCTATTGGCAGGTTAGTGAATTATCATAATTCAGCCAGATACATCCTCCCATTATACTTTTACCCTCTGGTAAACTAACATGGTTATGGAAAATGACCCATTTATATATAGATGGTTTACCTCTTAAAAATTGTGATTTTTCTATAGCTATGTAACCACAAAATCCAGAGGGTATATCCCATTAAGTGGAATATAATCCCATGAAACATTCCATTAAAATCCCATTAAACCCCATAAAATTACCAGATGGTAATCCCATCGAGCTGTTCCCATATCCACCCCACAACTAACGCTGGCCATTCATCCATTGTCATCCAGGAGTAGTGGCCTCGGTCACGAATGCCATGGCATCTGCTGGAGTGCTCATCAGGCCGCTTTTTATGGGTGCGATGGACATCCAAAAAGCTGGATTTTAGGAGATTTTTTTGATGTTTGTTGCATTCTCTTCAAGTTTTATATAGTTATATATATATATATTTTTTTTGGGTGATTTTCAAGGTTGAGTCTGAACCCCTCCAACATTGAAGCGAAGAACCGATTTCAGCTAAAACTTTGGAGAAAAAACGCGAAAGAAAGACATGACTGAACATGTCTGAACACCAGTCTTGCATTAAAGTTTTGTCAAATCAAACTTGGTCATCTGGGTTTGTTTGCAGGGCACCCCGACAATTTGATAACTGGTCGTCATTTTCTCGTATTTTCCCAAATGGCTACAAAAAGGGGGCATGCCCCATATCCGGAGCAGCCCATATCATGTCGTTGGTTGCCCCAAATGGTAAACCGGGAAACAGACAAATTTCTACCATTTGTTGGGTGAAACACCATCTTCAGACACCTGATCATAACAGTCACATCTCCCTGGAGAGATCACCAAATTGATCGACAAGACCTGTGAAGCTCCGCCAGGGATATGTCTGGACATCGCGATGATGACACCACAGGAGCGGAAGAACTGTACATTCATATGCGATATAAAGTAAGTGGCCTTCAAAAAGGCAGTTTTTCTTGAATCCCCAGTTTCATGTTTTTTCATTTTATAAAGTACCGGCGAAACCCCAAATAGACCCACTGCAAGTATCTTGTAAATTTTGTACATGTGTGGTTGTAGATATCAAACGGGACCTCTCAGCTTGCTAGGCTTAACCAATACACCTGGGTTGTACCTACCATTTTCTGCAGTTCTCAGCTTAGATGGCCATGCAAGATCCAGAAACACTCGTTTCTGGCAATATATGGGGAGGGTAATTTTTTTTGGGCTTACCCTTTGGTAATCAAAGATGGCTTGCTGGAAAATTCCCCCACATAGATAGATAGATAGATAGATAGATAGATAGATAGATAGATCGATAGATAGATAGATAGATAGATAGATCGATAGATCGATAGATCGATAGATCGATAGATCGATCGATCGATCGATAGATAGATAGATAGATAGGATAGATAGATAGGACAGATAGATAGGATAGATTAGATAGATTAGATAGAGATAGATCGATTAGATAGATTAAATAGATTAAATAGATTAGATCGATTAGATAGATTAAATAGATTAAATAGATTAGATAGATTAGATAGATTAGATAGAGATAGATCGATTAGATAGATTAAATAGATTAAATAGATTAGATAGATTAGATTAGATAGATTAGATTAGATAGATTAGATTAGATAGATTAGATTAGATAGATTAGATTAGATTAGATTGGATTAGATTAGATTAGATAGATAGATAGATAGATAGATAGATAGAAAGACATATAGATAGATAGAAAGACATAAAGATAGATAGATAGATAGATAGATACATACATACATACATACAAAGATACATAGATACATAGATAGATAGATAGATAAATAGATAGATACATAGATAGATAGATAGATAGATAGATAGATAGACAGATAGATAGATTAGATTAGATTAGATAGATAGGATTAGATAGATAGGGTTGATTAATTAGATCAATTAGATAGATAGATAGATTGACTGATAGATTAGACAGACAGATAGATAGATAGATTGATAGATTGATAGATTGATAGAGTGATAGATAGTTAGATTAGATAGATAGATTAGATAGATTAGATAGATTAGATAGATTAGATAGATTAGATAGATTAGATAGATAGATAGATAGATAAGATAAGATAAGATAAGATAAGATAGATAGATAGATAGATAGATAAATAGATAGATAGATAGATAGATACTTAGATAGATTAGATAGATTTGATAGATTAGATAGATTAGATAGATTAGATAGATAGATAGATTAGATAGATTAGATAGATTAGATAGATTAGATAGATAGATTAGATAGATAGATAGATAGATAGATAGATGGATGGATGGATGGATGGATAGATAGATAGATAGATAGATAGTTCGAAGATTTTCTCTCCCGAAAAACATCCAGGTAGTTGGGGATTTTGCAGCTAGCCATGTTTTCATTACCACAGGGTAGCCTCTGGCAATTCAACATAGCTCCGGAAAATCACAAATGTTTCAAGATTTTCAACAACGGTCAACTTTCCATAGCTTCATAGCTATGTTACCAGAGGGTACCAGGTTTGAAGAGGACTCTGTCTTGCTGGGTCAGCTGGCCTTTGGACAGGTACGCTACGTTTGACCTTCTACGTTACCAAGGGAGGGGAGCAGGTGGGATCCGCTGGGCGCCAAACATCGATCTTTTGGAGATGAACATCTAACTTCTAAGTTTTCCAATGCTTCCAAGATTCCAACCAAAAAAAAACCGGATTTTTGTAGTATTTACTCATTATGCTATTTCAAGAATCAGTTTTTTTTTTTTTTGGGTTTGATTTCCAAGATCCGTCTGTAGCATTTTCTATTTCTATACTGTAAGCGTGCTATGCAAGGTGCCACTGTGCTGGTCCAATCTTTAGCCCGATTTGAACCTGATTTGCTGCTTCCGAATTTCCATAGAACCCACCTTAAATTTCAGGATTCCGAGATCTTCTGAGTATTTCTGAGGATCTTCTAGTCATTTCATGTCAATTTCCCCACCCCAAACATGGTCCCTTAAGCTCCGTTGCCACTGTTCAGGTGGAAGACGACGAACTGAAGGACTTCGGGCGGAGCATCATGGCGGCCTGCAACGATCCGCAGTTCCACCAGCCCCTGGGCGAAGGGTGGAGCCGGGGTGGGGAAGAATGATATGGAAAGATCTACCCTCTGGTTATTTAACATAGCCATGGAAAATGACCCATTTATAGATGGTTTACCTATTAAAAATGGTGATTTTCCATGATTTTCCATGGCTATGTTAAATAAGATAAATAACCAGATGGTAAATTTATTGCCATATTCCCCAGCAAAACTTTGCTATGGGGTCTCTAGCCCAGATTAGCTCCGGTGCGATGCGGTGCAGCTTCAACACCAGGTCCTAGACAAGGTTGCGGAGGGTTTCGGTGCAGATACCTTGTGAGGTTCCGGAGGGTTCGGGGCAGATACCTTGTGAGGTTCCGGAGGGTTCCGGTGCAGCTACTCGGTGAGGTTCCGGAGGGTTACGGTGCAGATACCTTGTTAGGTTCCCGAGGGTTCTGGCAGATGGTTTGTGAAATTCCAAAGGGTTCCGATATGTTCCGATGTTTTTTATGGCATAAGCACTTAATTTTTATGGCATAAGCGCTTAGCAAAAACACTTTTTATGGCAAAAACACAGAAGCTTTCAAGCTGTTGGGGATAGCACCTGAGTTTAATTTTTTCCAGTTGGCTGATGTTTTGAAAGATCCAGGCTGATCAAACTCGGTTTGTCATGGTTTGTCCACTGTCCAGGTTTGTTAGACGTGGGATTTAGATACACCTTCAGATTTGGAAACCCGTTGCCAGCGAGGATCCTTGTGGCCTGGGGGTTGACCAACAAGGGGAGTGGTTTCAGGGTGACCATGGGTCTTACCCTTGGTCCCGCGGTGCGCCCAAAGCTATCCAAAGCTCAGGAAGAAGGAAAAGAGAATCGTGGCAGAAATGGAGGACCTGGGGCACTTCAAATTCTGGCCATTGGACCTAGGACCTAGGATAGCTGCACCCCATGTTCCTGCATCAAGTTGGCGTATCGGCGTATCGTATCTATATCATTCATTGTCATTCTATATCCATCTCAAGAGCCTGCAGAAATCCCCACCCCAAAAACAGATGCCACTTTACCATATACTTTACCATACACTACCGTACTTTACTTACCATACTTTACCACTGGTGGGGTCTTCAAAGTTATCGATCACAACATTCTTGGAGTTGAAACTGCAGGAGCTCAAGGCTCAGTTGGTGAAGACTCAGGAGCTGCTCCAGCTGGCGGTGAAGGAGAAGGAAAACACCCAGAAGATTATCGAGGTCCCGAGGGCAACGGTCTACTGGCGTGTTCTGATTTTTTCCTCCTTTGAAAACTTGATGTTTAACTGTTTAACCAACGTTGAGTTAAGGCAAGAAGGTAAATCATGATTTCTTTTTTTGCCATCAAACTCGACAAACTGGGATTAGCGGATAGCATTTACCAAATTTTTACCAACTCTAAAAGGGCTGGTAGTGCAAAAGAATGTGTTAACGGTGTTGCGAGAAGTGCTGATTCCGCATGATGGTTTCTAAAATTCTAAAAATGAAGTTCTATGCAGTCCCATGCAGTCCCAAATTCGCCTCAAGGTTGCAGTTCGATGTTTCCCATCACCAAATTCCTTTGCGACGCAGAAACACTTCCTGCGGATCGCGAAGAAAGATGATCCTCAGGTGCTCAACATGAATGTTGCTGATGTGGGATTGTGCGGCAATGTTGGGCTGGTCGTGAGCCCTGCCCATGTGAGATCGGGGATCTAGTACAGCTGTATCAAAGTGTTCAAAACCCACTAAGCCAAGAGATCCAAGAGCAACGAATTTGCCAGTCTGAACCAGGGGTTGTGCAGTTACTTCCCTTCTAACTTGATGGATCTTGATGGTGGACACATTTTGGATGGGTGTCCTTGTGCAATGGAGATTCATAGGGGTGATCAGAAAATCAAGCGACAAAATCCGATAAACCTTTTTGCTGTTGATGATTCTACCGGGTTATCCAATACTATGTAACTAGGTTGTATATAACTATACATACATAATCATATATATATATATATTCATATATATATATACACATGTAACTGTATAACGGATATAAATATACATATTAAGACACACAAATATATATATATATGTCTCGTTCGGCGCAGGATGACGATTCCACCGCCGAAAAGTCCACAGCTATGACCGCCAGCTAGGCCGCCTAGGGCGTGGTGCTATGCCGATGTCCAGTGGTATTTGGCAAGCAAATGGCTGTAGACTATGGAAACACTTGTGGAACATGTTGGCATATTATGGGGAACATATGAAAAAACTACAGAATGATGAAACCTATTCTCGTCCAAAGGCCGCAAAAAGACCAATGACATATATGAACTTGAATTTGAATCATGGCTACAAACTGCCAACATATCTTTGTGTTTAGCTTGGAGATACAGCTGGAAACCTCATATGCTTTGAGGAGAGTAGACCTGCGACAGCTCTATTTAAAACTCCATTTCAAAAGTTGATCGGCGGTAGGGATGTTAGACAAAAATGGCAATGCATGGAGGAAGCCCAAGATTCGTAAACCCGCTTCATTGGGTTAGGCAGTTTCCACTTGATGCTCTCAAGAATTGCCCTTCCAATTTTGGGGAGGAAAACCATATCATCCCATTTTAGAGCTCATTGGTCCCCCATTGCGTGCTACAAACAGTTGACTGGTTTGGCATAGCACCCTGGTTGCTTTCGTGGGAAGGCACCCACAAGATTTGAGAGGCCACACTTTTTCAGATCAGCTCTTAGGGCGGGTTGACTTGAGACATTTCCCCAGTGTATATCGGCATGGCAAACGTTTTTGATGATGTTGGCTCGAAGAGTAGCCAAAAACAGATGCATCAGATAAACGGTAACGGTGGGTCCACAAAGAGTGGGCCGATGTTTCACAACTGCAGCGGCTGGCAGCGCCGAATCTTTGCTTTTCCTGTGTGGCAGCTGATTGGCAGAGATGGTAACTGTAAACAAACTAAAGGGGGAAACCACCGGAGAAACGAGTCGCACCTGTTTCACACTCTGACAACTCATGAGCCTGAGTGGCCCGGTAAATGTCACAACCTGCAAGTCCAAAGTCTGGCTTTACATTCACACTGGTTGTGTTTTACGTTGGACTTGCAGGGGATGAAAAAGGCAGCTTGATGGTGCGCGTGTTGGCCCACCAGCTACGCACATCTGGGATGATCTTCGTGAGGATGTCTGCGAGCTGCATTCCTGTAGGGAGCCAACGCAATGTCCGGGCTCCATGAATGATGCCGCCCCAGTAGGCCGCCTCTTCGCCAACCATCATCCTCAGGGCCGTGAGGTCCACTACCAATCTCTTCTCACTTGGTGCTCTTGGTCCTCCCACACGATGGACGTTGTCGTACACGGACTTGCAGTCAGTCAAACTGACTATGGGAAAAAGGGCCCTTGCATTGGCCTCGCGAAGCCCGCCAGGTTGAGCCGACAAGGCTCCCGCAATGAAAGAGCGGAAGCATAAGGCCTCTTCCCAACCTTCCAATCCTGCCATGACTTCTGCCGCAAAAGTGCTACGGCAAACACGTGGGCACCCGTGTGACTTCCATCCTACCACGGTGCCTGGCACTTCTTGGCCTGACAAAGCAGCGCGGCTCGTCATGAGCAGCAGATGCCCAAGTTGGGAGTACACCCCATGTCCAGCAGCCGCTTCATAGTCCTCAGGAAGCTCGTGGTTGGGATCCAGCGTAGCGTTAGCCCAAGCTGCGTCATGATATACCAGCAAGAGTAGGTCATCCAATCCATCGGACACCTTAGTGAACTGAAGAGGTTCACCCTTCCCAGCCTGTGCCATCTTGACCAGCTTGTTCGTGTTCTTCACATCTTGGAATGTGGGGTCACGCTGTCGTCTTTGAGAAAGGGAGACTCCAGCCTGGAGATCTGGTCTGGTTTGTGATGCCAGCCAGGAAAGGGCGCCAATAGTGCTCATGTTATCCTGCTTGGTGACCTGGTCGGCAATCTCCTCTGTCTCCACGTTCTTTGGAATCTCCACGGCCTCCAAGCGAGTGTTGACATAGTCAGTCTGGTAGAGCTCGATGACCTGGTCCACCTGCTTGATGGTAGCGCCCGTGTAGTCGAAGTTACCAGATTCCCACTCTGCGATGGGGAACAATCCTGAAAGTTCCACCTGCAGTTGTCCCATCTCCGAAGGAGGGGCAGCGATGAGCAGGTCGTCGACATGAGTGATCAGACCTCCTCGTAATTGACCGCGTTGATCTCGTAGGGGAAAGAAACATGGGTCAAGGTCGTGATGACTCAAAGTGAGGGTGTCGTCACCAACCTTGATCTTCAGCTCCTTGAGTTCTTTGGCTAATTTGTCCCACCAAAGTCTGGGTGAGTTGGAAAGACCAAAGACCCCCTTCACGATCTCGATGAGGGAGCCTGGTTCCACTCCCGGTAAGCCACGGCGTGGGGGCTCAAAGTAGAGCCCACGTTTGGACTCAATCCCGTTGAGGAAGGCGGCCTCCACGTCGCCAGCTGCTAGCTGCCATCCAAACTGTGCCGCCAGGAAGAGCAAGGTGAGCAAAGACATTCTTGAAGCAGTAGGAGCCTCGGTGTTGACCTCGCCCTTCTGCAGATCAGGATCTTGATGACCCCCAATGCACAGCCTCGCCTTAGCCTTTGGAGGTAGTGAAGCATCTTCACGTCGTTTCGCGGCGTGCTTGTCCCGGTAGGCGAACCTCGCCCGGAGGATACGTTCTTTGGGCACCTTCCTCCTCAAAAGCGCTGCATCTTCAGGTGGGTGCACTCGTACAGCTTCGTAGTGAAGGTGCTCGGTCCATTGCTTCTTCTCCGCGTTGACATAACAGGCCCTCTCTTCCTCAGGGATGTCTTCCCATCGGATTTCCTTATCATGCTGCTTGATGGTTGAACGAGGCACCCTCTTTTCCACCATCAGTGCCTGTGCTGCCGGTCTGGAAGATGTTGCTTGCTCAACTTCCTGATCCAACATGTCCTCGATGTCATCATCGGGTACTGGTGGAAGAGAACGGCCACGATGAGCTTGAGTGTCTCCTCCTTCAGGGACCGGTCGTTTATGCATTCGCACCACCCCTTTAGTCCTCAGCCTTCGCTCTGGCACCGCCTCATAGTTGATCTCTCTCTTCGGTCTCACTTCATCCATCGCATCAGCGAAGGCTTCATCGTCGTCGCTGTTGTCCAGGCGGTGTGCCAACCTCATCAAGTCGTCCTTCACCACCTTGGTCTGAAAGGCCATGCCAAGCTCCTCAGATTCTGCAGGGCGAAGGTGTTCTGCAGCACATAGAACACAACGACCACCTCGTGAGACCCAGTAGGAGCTACCCTCTTTACCGACCACTACACCAGGGCCGATCCACTCACCGACGTTTTGGCGCTTACGTGCCACACCACCTGTCGTCTTGTTGACCCTGAAGATGTAGACGTAGTCTCCTTGTTCATAGATTTCCTGATCGGTACGTGGTCGGCCAAGTAGGGCTCGTTTGAGAGCATCATCAGCCTGGGTCTGCATGAAAGCTTCTCGGGCTGCCAGACGAATTGCTTGCCTCCTTCTCCAGACTTCATCAGGTGACCTCAATTCCTCCTTGGTGTAGAGGTTGGCGTCCTCGTCCAGCATGGCATCTCCTAGACGAGGTTCTGCTCCAAAAAGCCATTGTGCAGGTGAATAGCCGTGTTTCCTCCTCAGGTTGTTCTTGGCTGCGGAAACCATGGCTAGGGTATACTCGATCTCATGTGGCAGTGGTTGACTGTGGGCAATAGTCCGGTCCCAAATGGCCCGGTACCACTGGCCTTGACGTTCAACTATTCCTTGTTGCCAATGTGCCTGTCCAGCAATGAAGCGCACCTGGATGCCCACCATCTCAAGACCGTCCACGAAGTCCTTAATGAAACCTCTCTCTTGGTCACATGTCACTTTCAAAGGTGGCCCGGCCCAAGTGAGCCAAGCGTCAGTGAAATCGGCCAACAAGTCAGCTGACTTGCGGCCTCTAATCTTCTTCACTACATGGTACCCCGTGGCGGTGTCCACGATGGACAAGACTTCAACCTTCTTCTTCTCGGCGTCCAGGAGGTTGAGCGTGTCGAGGCAGACCTCTTGGTTGAACTCCATGGGGCGAACCAATTTGGCTGGCCTCCTTGTTCCTGGATTGCCTTTCCGATTGCAAGTGGTGCAGCGTAAGCCTTGGGCCGCTTTCACAGCAGCTTCACTCGCACCAGACAACTTGAGATGTCGGGCTAAGTCATGGTTAGCCGGGTGCCCAAGGTTCTGATGGACACGCCTCAGTGCTTTACCCAATGCTGCAGGCACGTTCTCGGGGAACTCGATGCCGGACATATTGTTGCCAGATGTTGCTGTCAAGTCACCCTCATTGTTGGCCACGTAGTTCTCCCACGTGGTCTTGGCAGCAGCGTGGTCTCCAGGTTGAAACCATACGCTTCTATCAGTATTCTTGTACCCCTCAATCACAGCCTTGCAGAAAGTGCGGGTGTACATCCCTGCAGCTTTGGTGTTTCGACCCTCAGTGGGAGTATGTTCATGGCCTCCATGACAAGTCCGGGTGAGCTCCTTCACCAAGTTGGGATTGGTGGCCACGACCTTGGTTGGTTTCCTGAGCCTACCGCCATCCGTGACGGCCCTCAGGTCATAACGGCACATGTCCAAATCGGCCGCGACCACATGTTCACACTCCATAAAGCTCTGCATAGATGGATCTGTCCACATGTCCGAGTACTTGGGGTGCTCGAACATCACCTCGTTGCCCATTGACACTTGGTGCCAAGCCGCCTCCACAGCGAAGTGCACCAACTTCCTTTGCTTCTGACGTTCTCGGCGTAGTTGCTGTTTTCGATGGGCATAGTTGTACCTCTGCCAAGTAGACCACTTGGTACAAGGCAAAGCGATCCACAAGAGCTTGGGCCTCTTATACTGAATGTCGTTGAAGACCGACTCCTGCTGGAGCGGGTCAAAGAGATCGTGGCCATAAAGGATGTCTCGAGGCTCCAAGACGTGATGGCCTTGTCGAGCAAACTCCATTGTAAGGTGAGCGGATCCAGCAAATAGCTCAAGGAGAGCAATCTCCTCCCTCTTACCCTGAAGAGCATTGGGCCCCAGCACGGCCTTACAAAGATCTTTGGCTGGCTCCAGGATAGCATCGTTCAACTCTGCCACCACGGGAGTGGAAAGTGCAACCAACGTCGTTGTAAGGCAGAGCAATGTCCGATGGACCCAGCCCTTGACACGCTTCTTGGCCACCCTCTTCATCCTTTTTGAGGGCAGATTCCTCACCTCATCATAGTCCTCCGGGTAGGTCAACTTGATCCTGGGAAACCCGGTCTCCTTATCGGTGTCATAGTCGTCAAGGTCGATCACGTCAGGGTCCTCCTCGGCATCAGAGACGATGTTCTCCTCAGGGATGGAGAGCTCCGTGACGGATGTAGTCTCCTCAACGTTGTAGGGCTCGTCAAGGGCGTCGTACTCGGCAGTGATGTAGCAGCTCCTCCTCTTCATCTCGATGCGCATCTTGTGGAGCTGATCGACCTTGTCCCAGTATGCCTTCTTCTTCATCTTGGCCTTAGAGGCACCAGCTAGTACCCCTTGTCCTTCTTGTCCTCCTCCGCTTTGACGGCCTTCAGCACCTGAAGTCGAGACTCCATGTCCTTGATCTGATCCTCCGTGCTCATCTCGGGCTCGGACACCAGACTGAACCCCTCGGAATCCGACGCCAGAGGCCGTGTCCTCGATGTTCTCGCTGTCTTCATGTTGCTCTTCTCCATCTTGGGCTTGGCCTTGGGAAGCGCTTCCGGAGGAATCGGCAGAACGGCCGAACGTTCTGGATCCCCACTCACGGAGGAAGTTCCACCGCGAGGGGGCTTGGACTTCTCGGCTTGTGCCCAGCGAGCCAGACGTGCCAAGTCTGGGCTGTGGTTGGGGTTCGTCTCCACCTCCTTCATCGCCCAGTTCAGGTAGCTCCAATTGACCTCCTTGTACATGAAGCCCTTGTAGCTCCCGAAGCACACCTTCTCCTCGCCGGTCGGTGGAGTGTTCTCCCGCAGCAGCTTCATGAGCAACCCCCGTGAGGGACGCGGCGGCAAGAGGATGCCCTCCTGGCTGCACTTCTCCTTCAAGGCGTCCAGCGACATGTGTGAGATGCCGACCGCCTTGTAGGTGTGGTCCCCCTTGGTGTCCAGCGTCTCCAAGAGAGTCGCCCTCAGCTCTGGCACCCACTCGTACCTCACTGGGATGTCCAGATCCTCCAGCTGTTGGATGAGCTCCGCACGAGTCATCTTCCATGGCGACTTGGGAGCGGTCCTGGACATCCGGAGCAGATCGAATTGTGGGGCAGCAGGTTTGCTCCGTCGTGCGTCGACGACGAAAACGGCTGCGGCCGATCCACAAGAAGTCAGCACGTGGTGAAGAATCATGTCGCCACCGGTGTTCAAGACAATGTGTGATGCCATTGCCATAGCATGGAACGCATGTCGTTTCCCTGAAATCATCTAATTCCTTCAAAAGGTTTGTCCTCAAAGTGTCATCCGATGTGTTCCAACGTCCAGGGTCAAAACATGTGCGACGTGGTGTCACGTGTACCCTCACCATGTATTCATCATCTTCCACCCAAAAGTCTCGTACATGTGTTTGTTGGTTCCACCAATGTAGGAAAGTTTCACTCGGCAATGTGTCACGGGTGAGCATGTCAAAAATGTGTCCATGTACTTTGGGGTAAAAGAAGTGGACCCGCCCAACAGAAGCAGCACTCGCCATGTATGCTCGGGACGCAGCAGATGCCGTGTCGGGGATGTGCACTTCTGTCACACTCCAGTCGATGTTCTCCGGCCAGAGCGGGGCCTTTGGTCCAAAATTCACAGCATCGACTCTGGGATGTCCAGAAGTCGTGAAATCAAGCTTGACATGCTCAAGGCTAAGCTTTGTGAAGTCCGCCACATTGATGTCCATCTTGTAGTTCATTCCAAGTGAGCCCAGCACGGGCCGGCTCAAGAGAAGCGGCACTTGTGCTGCCACCAGAGCTATCTTGATCAAAAACCAACGGCCTTGAATGGCCAGCCACCCGATGATCGCCTTCTTGGACGGGTAGAGCTTCGGCCCACCAAACTTGAAGGTCTCGTCCTGGTTGATGATGATGTAGGAGATGCCGTTGTCCTTCGCCAGCTCGATGTACTTCCTGCACCACATAGTTCCCGCCAGCGTGCGGCTGCACGCACAGTCCACGATGGTGTCCAACTGGGTGCCCTCCGCATAGAAGACGACGTGGGTCACATGGGGAGCCACTGCAGCTCCCGTGCCCTTGTTCTTGGGGCACTCCGCATCCTTATGCCAATGGCCCTTCTTGCCACATGCCGAACAGAAAGATCGTGCCTTCGCTCGACTAAGAGCTTCCTCACGGCTCTTAGTCAAAGTAGTGCCACGAGCCTTCAGCACGTTGTTGTACTTCGCCTTGGCATTCTGAAAGGCCACAAATGCCTCGTGGGCTTCAGGGTCCTCATCGTCAGGGACGTAGGTCTCGTCAAAGTCCTCGGCATCCTCGAAGTCCTCCATGTCCTCAGGGATGTCGTCAAGCTCAGTCATGTAGGCCTGCTGGTTCTTCTTGTTGTCCTTGTTGTCACTTCTCCGCCCGGTCTCCCAAAGGCGCCGGTTCATGCGGTCCTGCACAACTGCAGCTTCTTGCAATCGCCCCAAGTCATACTGGTTGTTGACGGATGACAAGAGGCTCAACTCCGTTGCATTGTCCAACCTCAGCTTGTCGATGTACCACCATGAGCTGCAGACTCCCGGCAAAACACAGCCAACCTCTTTGAGCTTCGTAAGATGGCGATCGAACTCGCTGTTGTAGTCCCTGATGTCCTGGTTCGTGCCCCGCTTAAAGAGCTTGAAGAAGTCACTCATGTACCTGCCCGCCTTCACGACCTCCTTGTCCAGGTAGCGCTGGGTGATCCAGCCGATGAACTTCTCGACACCGTCGTTGGAGTCAAGCATCTTCACATCGATCTCCTCAGCATCATGCCATGCTTTACCAGTGAGGCCGTTGTACAAGACCAAGGCCTGCTTGTTGGGTTTGAGCCTGGTAACCCTCCGCCATGCCTCGATCTTCCTCAAGTAGCTGCGAGCACGAGTTCCATCACGGTCCTCTTCCCCAGAAAACTCTGGGGCCACGATCTTGTCGTTGCCACCTCCACGTTCATCAGGAACCTCATCCCTCTGACTCCCATGTTGGCTACTAGTCCATGGGTCTTTCCAAGGGTTCAACCAAGGGTCAGAAGACCTAGTGGTATACGACCTACGTACATACCCAGTTCCATGGCCATCTGAGTGTTCCCCATCAGGTGTCGGGGTGGTTTCCGTCGAAGGTGCCCTATTCCTAGCTGCCTCCCACCAACCCCCGGAGTTCCACAACCTCCAGTCCTCATCGGTCCATCTTGCCGTAGACCTCTGCTGAGTCTCTTCCCCAAGAGCAGCATCATCGTTGCCCCCACCGGACTCATCAGAGGCGGAGCCACCGTCGACCTCAGCAGCAGGCTCCGTGGGAGACGGCATGAGTCACCTCCGCAGCGTAGGCCGCCACAGCAACGGCTATGGCAGATCTTTGTCCAGGTTTGACAGCCGCCTGGAGCGGCTCCGCTACCAATGTAAACAAACTAAAGGGGGAAACCACCGGAGAAACGAGTCGCACCTGTTTCGCACTCTGACAACTCATGAGCCTGAGTGGCCCGGTAAATGTCACAACCTGCAAGTCCAAAGTCTGGCTTTACATTCACAGTAACATTTTGTTAAACTGTGAGGACTGTGAGGGTTTTTTTCCCCAAAGAAACATCTGGAATTTGATGAACTTATTACAGGCACCAGCGCAGGTATTGTCACTGAAGTTGTTTCATCACCTGAATTTCAGGGGTCCGCAAGCCACAGGGGGTCGTCTTCCAACAAACGACCGGCGCAAGGCCAATGTCGAGAATTGCTTTCAGAACAGGAGGAAAAACATGAGCGACAGGGGCCCCTTGAAATGGAAAGGTTTTCAGGTTCGAATTTCACAATGGCCATGGCCATTCTAAACCCACCAAACAGGTTGTGAGGTCGTACTTCTTGAGATTCTCTTCTCGGCTTGAGCCCTACCACGTTCTGTGCTTCCGGATGAACTTGGCTCAGAGGAGGAAGAAGAGACTGGATACGTCACAGGAACAACCCGCGCATGTTCAATTGCCAGTGGCTGCTGAAATTAAACAAGGGTCATAAGAATATTGTTGAATAGTGTGTGGCACGGCAGGGCCTATTCAGATTTGTTTATATGATGCCGCATTGTCAATTTCTTCCTCTTGTCATCTACTTCGGACCATAGTCCGTCAAGTCCGTCAAGGGTTGTGACGAGCTTAAATGCACTGTCTACAGAACCGACCTTTTTCTCAATCCTTGATGTTGCACAACTCCACTCATGCCGGAAGCCAGAGCATCTTGAACAAAATCTTGCTCAACCCTATCCTGTAGCCCTCCTAACCCCCCAGGTTATCCTAAGTTTCTATAGATGCCACCACTGCTTTCCCCCAGCCCCATATCGCCTGCCATGCGTGGTGAAGTCTTTCGACAGCTGCGGGAGCTGGTGGAAGTGGCAGAGGACAATGGGCAGCTCTTCTGGGCGCTGAACGTCTCAGCGGTGTTGTACCTCGGTGGCGGCGAGAAACAAACTCCCCAAGGTCGATGGCGACTGCATCCCAACTTCCCAGAAATATCATGAAACATCTGGCATTTCATCGAATTGGATGGTGCTTTTTTCTTGGCCCCTTTTCCCTGTTGTAGAACTCTTCTCGTCCAACTTCCTCCAATGTTCGCATCAAACTGTTTGGTAGAACAATGATATTGTTATTTTTAGGATGTTGGGAAAACATGGGCAACACATTGTCAAACCCTGACTTAAGGTGGGAAAATAATCTCCCACCTAGCAACAGGATTTCCCCCCAAACTCTGCTTCAATGTTCCAATTTTCATCCAGCTTTCCATCCCCAAACAATCCGCCAACAAGAACCCGCCAACTTTCAACACAACCAGACCGACAAGAATCCATCAACGCATCCCAACCAAGTCAAAGAAACCACTCAGACACAAATCCAAAAAAACGACACTTTTTTTTTTTTCCGAACTTGTGTTTTTTCCCCAAATCCCATGAAAATCAGGAGCATCACCACCAAGTGAGCCCTTTTTTGGGGATTTTCACCTCCAGGAATGGCTCCACGAAGAGTTTGGCCACCATGGGGGAGGAGGCTTTGCGGCGTCAACTGGAGCAGCGGCTGCCACCCCATGGGCCTAGCAGTTGGGCTGAGGCTCTGGCCTATGAAGTGACGCGCCACTTGGGGCAGCAGCTGGGAAAACTATGGGAAAAATGGATAAAAATGGGGGAAAAGGAGGAAATCACTGGAAAAAACATCTTCATGAACTCAGACAACAAGGCCATTGCTATTTCTTTGGATGAGCCCAATTTCCGCATCCATTTTCTCCCAGCAAAAAACGAGGGAACCATCACACATATGGCCTCAAATCAGCTTTGACGCTAATAATGTTTATTTATATATCAGTTATCACAATGAGACATCATAAGACCATAAGATAAAAATACATCAATTGCAAAACTGTTCTGTAAGCAGGGGGCAGTTACGGAGCTATGGGGATCCATATTCCTAAAATGGAGAGCCAGCTGGAGCTACGAATTGAGTCCCAGCCAAGGAGCCGAGCCCTTAGCGTTCCTCTTCGACGTCCTGGGCCTGGACTGCCGGCTGCGTCACCACCGCCGCGCCCTGACGGTTGCCGAGAAGGCGGAGGTGCTGCGCAGCATGGCCGGGGAGCTGCAGCGAGGCATCAGCGAGGCGAAGGCGCCCTGGTGTGGCGCCTTGTTGCGAGAGATGACCTGCTGCTTGTTGGAGATGTGCCCTGGGGAAGGGATGGAAAGGATGGAAGGGATGGAAGGGATTGAAGGTGGGGTCGAAGGCTTTTTTTCTTGTGCCTCTTTGGGATGGGGGAGCAATTGATCGGCGTTCAGGTCGAAGGTGTTTGGCAAATGCCAGGATCTAAAATTGTGACAGCATCCTTTAAATCCTTCGTTTGGAAGTCAAATAGCACATTCAAATCTTCATCATTTTCGTGGGCCAACTACCATCCACCATCCTCCAACATAGACCCCGCCAAATAGGAAGTTGGAAGGCCACTTTTCTCTAAAAAAGGGTATCATGGGTGATATTTCCACTCAGTTTTTCTCGTTTCTGTGGCGTCGCGCCAAATTCCCAGGTACCATGAAAGCCTGCGTGGCCGTGATGAGACCCCCGGCCGGGGCTCCGCGCTAAATGCGCCGCGGCCCTTGCAGACGGATGCCAAACTTGGTGCCGGGGGGATGGGGCTCCCTGATTCTTTAGTGATGATACGAAAAGAGATACTGTATACAAGTAAATAAAATACAATGAAAAAATAACATCAATGTTGAGTTCGATGCTAAATTTCGGGGTATGTAATCAATTGGAAGCACCCAAACATGTACCGAAAAGGGCTGGAAACAGACGTAGTCATGGTAAAATTTGACCAACAAAATCCAACAAACATGATTTCTATCAGATATCTTGAGGTGACTACACCAGACTGGAGTGACTAGGAGGTGCCGGAATTGAATTTCAGGTGGTTGGAAAGGTGCATCACCAGGGCTGATAACCCTTGTGACCCTAGTGGATGATGAGGCAGCTGGCAACCTCTGGCTGGAAATGGAATGAATAGCGACGGCGACGACGACAAATTATTCCATGGGTTTCAATGCGATGTTGAACTCTAGTGATTTTGGGCCAGATTCGGGAGCACTAAACAGGGAACAGGGATGCTCTTGTGGGTTTCTCTTTGCAAGGTTAGCGTCTTCAAATTTGTGAGTGAGGCGGCCCAAAGCTATTGGAAGTGACTCCGCGCTACATGCGTCAATAGTATCCAGCAACCTCGTCGACCTTATGGAAGCCGAATAAAACAGAGATTCGGCCTCCAAGTTTGAGGTCCAATATTTTCAGAGAGGGCTGCAACTTGAGTTGCAACCGCCCGAGGTCGTCTTCAGGTTATGTAGCCTCTGGTGCCCAATCCTACCTATCCTATCTATTCCTATCTATCCTATCCCAGCCTTCCATCAAGGTGGACTTAACCCAACAAGAATCATTAAACCTCCGAACATGAACTTTTGAGAGGATTTCGTCGCCATATCTTCATTCATATTCCATTAATATTCAATTGTATCACTACTTTTGTTTCTTAAGTCTGTATAATCGTGGCACACTCCTGCCATGAGCTCTGCAGCTTCGCAGCCAGGTGCCCTGCTGCGGAGCGGTTCCTGGCGAGAGATCTTGGAACGCCTGGTGTTTCTGCACGAGCAAGAGCATGGCCTGGGAAACTTGGGCCTTGGGGCGGTGAACCATAGAACCATAGAAAACGGGGGGGGGTTCAATGTTTGAATTTGAAAAACCAGGAGATTTGAAGGTACCCTGGGTACCATATTTTCAGACCCCCATTTTTTTACCAGGGAACCGACATGGAGTTTGGATGATCCGGATCTCAGTGCTTCCATTGGTTGGGACGGGAGGACAACCGCAGCCGAGGAGATCAGATCACCCTGACCTTGGCCGCCTCATTGCCGCGGCTGAACTTGATGCGTCTGCTGGTCTTCGTGCGCGTGCTGCAAGACATCTGCTCTGGTGAACCTGGCAGCCCCAGCGTACGTCTGCCAACACAGGCAAGGGATGGCAAGGGTAAGACATATGCCACCTGTGCTTGCAGGGTCTTGGCAGCTCAAGAGTAAGCTCTCCAGGGCTATCACTGGCATGTTCTGCAGTGTGCCCTGCAAATGTGGACTGGTATGATGGCTTCTGTGAGAAAATCAACAAGCGTGAACTAGTTGCTAGTTGGTGAAATTTGTTCCCACAAGACGCTCGCAGATGTATCGTGCTTCAAATTTCATACTCCATTTAGCCGCCGTAAATACCACTCATTTACCATCTTTCATCCGTTTTCAGGGCATTGAACCAACCAAAACCAGCATAAATCAAGCATAAACCAAGCATAAACCGAGCATTTCTAAGGTATCCAAAACCATCCCAAACCAGCCTAAACCACCCATCATGGGGCGCCTTAGGAGTTGCATCCCCAACAGCGTGCCTCCCTAGCCTCAGCCGTGGTGCGGGCGGTGTTGGCATCGGATCTGAGTACGATGCCCTTTGAGATGGAGGTTGGGAGATTGGGATGCTGGGGGTATAGATTAGTAAATATACCCTCTGGTAAACTAACAGTTTGCTATTGAAAATGGCCATTGAAATAGTGGACTTACCCATTAAACATGATGATTTTCCATAGTTATGTTAGTTTACCAGAGGCTACGTATTAGTAAATATGTAGCTGATAGGATAGGACTGTAATGATATGTGTAGATTGTAGATGTAGAATGATGTATGTATATAATGTGTATACTATTATATGACCTGGTAATTCATGAAAGTGAACTTGATTTCTGATGATTTTGTCCATTCTTTTTGATGATTTGATGATGTGTCGATTTTCCATTGGAATGGCTGAGGCCACACGGGGCTAGATGGGGGAGACGGGGCAGATTAGATTGGCTGCAGCTATACGAAGCGGTTTCATGTGGAAGGCATCCCAAGCTGCCGATCGAGCTTATTCTCACCAATCACTTCACGATATATTATATTATATATATATATTATATAGAGGTACAGTATACTTACATAAGTATAATATATATTTAAATCTATCTATCATGAAGTCATGAAAGTACATTTGCATTTTCTCCATTTTTTGGGGGTAGGACAAGCCTTAGAGCCATAGGTCAGGGAACTATTAGCCAGTTGCCAGCCGTGAATTTCTGCACAGTTTCTCACCACCGGGTCATTACCCAACATCATTGCTGGTTTCATTGGGGCCCGTCATTCTAAGGTGCCTCCAGAGTTTTGAACTGTTTCTAAAGTCCCTCATTGGCCCATAGATGTTGCTACCACATTTTGCATATTACAGAAACCTTGCAAAAACGAAGTGTTTTGCTACATGTTCCAAAGTTTCTAAGTAGAGCCAGTGTCCGCTTCAGGAGCAAGTTGAGGATGTGAGGCCCATCTAGACCAGCGTGGACGGACGGGGATGGAAACCAAAACACATCGCCATCTGATTTGGATTCCACCGCGGAAAGAAAAACTCATGGAACTAACAAATTCTCGGAAGATATATGACCTAGCCTCTGGTAATTTAACGTAGCTATTGAACATGACCATTAATAGTGGATTTTCCCATTAAGAATGGTGATTTTCAATAGCTATGTTAAATTACCAGAGGGTAGCCATTGAACCGCAGGCTGTCCCCGTTCCTCTCCGACTTCGAACGCAACGGTCTGTTGGAGCTCATGGCCGCTACCCCTCGGGCTCCACCCACGCGCTCCATTGCCCCCGCCCGCACAGTGGTGAGGGCCAGCAGTGTGCCGGAGATCACCAGAGCCACAGTGGAAATGCCCAATGGCTCCGGTGCTCCTATGGGAATATTACCGGTTACCCTCTGGTAAACTACCGGTTTGCTATTGAAAATTGCTATTTATAGTGGATTTACCCATTAAAAATGGTGATTTTCCATGGTTATGTTAGTTTACCGGAGGGTATTGGTTGTGATTGTGAAAATGCTGTTCTTGGCTTTGGGGATTTCTGGTTGTCATGTTTCTTTGCCAAAGGGTCTGCTTCTTTGTTCTTTTTGCCGTTTTGACGGTGCTGTGGTTTGTGAATCACACAACTTGTGATCAAGTGTTTCTCAATTTAGCCTGAGTGGTAGGTCTAAGGCAGACAGACATAGACAGAGACAGATAGACAGATAGAAAAACAGACAGATAGATCCATGATATACACCTAGTATCACCTAGTTATATTTCCAATTTTTCTTATTTTTGTTGTTCTTTGTGGTTGAGGCAGCTACATCACAGGCCGCCCCACGGGGCGCGGCGCAGAGCTGCGTGCGCTGCGGCGCCCCGCGCCGCGGATGGCGGAGCCCCAGCCGCAGTCGCGGCCCCGGCGGCCGAGGCACAACGATTCCTATGGCTTTGGATATCTACCGGGACATCCCATGGAGGACGGAAAGTTGGGGAGTTGGTGACTGACCATACCTGAAGGGAAAGATTCGGGAAAGATGGATGATGATGGATTTGACTGGGTTTGTGACTGACCATACCTGAAGGGAAAGATGGATGATGATGGATGATGATGGATTCTGGGTTTGGGAATGGGTTAAGATTCTGAAGGACCGACCACAGATTGGAATGGCTAGTTTTAGTTTTAGTATTACTGTAACCATCTGTTCTTTTTGCAAACCCCCGTCCCGTTGGTTTCACAATGTTAAAGACGCTATGTTGAGTGAATCCGGCGCCGCGCTTGCATTGTATCTAAATTTGATCCATTCCCACGTGGAAAAGATGAATAGGAATAGTGGTGGAATTTTGCTTGGTGAGTTGGGGATGTTTTCTGGACAGGCTCAGGCTGCAGTCGAGGATGAGTAGGAGCATGATGAGGATGAGTAGGAGCATGATGAGGATGAGGATGAGGATGAGGCTGATGAGGCTGATGATGATGATGATGATTATTATTATTATGATGATGATGAGGACGACGACGACGATGATGATGATGACGATGATGACGATGATGACGATGATGACGTTGATTGAGATGATGGTGATGATGGTGATGATGAGGAGGAGGAGGACGACGATGATGATGATGATGACTGATGACGATCGTTTCACAGCTGTCTACAAGACCTTCGAACGTCTTGTCAGACCAATATGAATTGTTCGAGGACTTTGAGCCAGAACCAGCCGCCCTTGGCTCAATGGGCGGCCCTTGGCGCCCACCGTCCTTGCCACCATCTCCAAGGGAGGCACATAGATGTTGGAACTGCCAGAACTTCTTCTTGCCCGACTCCATGTACTGTCGCTCGGTTCAGGGGTTCCAGACAGGCCATGATGCCATGTGCGACTGATCCGTTTTCCCCGGCAACTGGGGTGAAATGAGGCCAAATAGAACTCCCGAATTGGCCACATGGTGTCCCACTGTTTGGATCATTGAGGTCTGCAATCTATTTTTTCACTGTTTCCATCAGGGTCCACAGCTTTTCATGGCCCTATCACAGATTTTTTGTTGAACTGCCAATTTCTCTGCGCCAGGTCGCAAGTTCACCTCACTAAACCTAACTTTTCTTAGCAGGCCAAGGTGCTAAGCCCACCACCAATTTGGCCGGATTTGATCTTCAACCACCCCAAATTTACAGTAAAACAAGATATAACAAGATAATACAATATATATATATATATAATATAATGTATATATATATTATACATGTGTGTGTTTGTTTATTTAAGAAGTACCAACCTTGCTTCCCCAGGTCGTTTCTGCGGGCTGCACCGGGCGGATCCCCCAAGCCCCTCGCTGCAGCGTGCCGCCACGGCCTTCCAGCGCCTCGCGGAAGCGGCGGCGCGAGAGCCGCGGGAGTCGCGGGAGGTGCCGTCGCGGTCCGCGTCGCCGCGGCGGGTGCCCAGCTGGGGCATTTGAGGAGCCCGGGGCAGCCCGGGGCGATGGAAGGGGTGAGGATGAGAATTTGTATGTAGTTGTGATATAAATGTTTCTGTCTATGATAGGTACATGTATAATGTATACGTAGATGCATAAAAATAAATTGATAGAGATTGATATGATACAGGCTATAGTTTCTTATTCCTATTCATGTGTTACACACTGGCTGTATCTACCCCATCCCACAAGGTATCCCACGGTGACAGCATCCAACTTCTAAAAAAGGTTGGGGGTTGTAGAATGCTTGCGATCCCAGTGCCAAGCCAAAACCTATGCTTGAAAGGTCCTGGCAACGCCACCGCCATACTGGCGGTCTGACACCTTGGCTATCGTCATCCTGAAGGAATGATCCGTCTGAAAACTCGGAATCCTGATAATCCTGGTATGTTGGTTATTGTCTAGAAAAGATTGAGGTAAACAGATCTCAGACCAACCAGACCATGACAACAAGCAGGTTTCTGTTTGACAAATATTGATTAATGTGGTATTTACATACTGTAAATTAAAAATTAGATTAACAATTACGCATCCCCAAGTGAGGTTTATGATGTAAAATGACCCCCCTTCTAAGATCGGGCTTAACATTGGAGCCATTTGGAGCCGAGCTATTTGCATGACCTTCTTTGGATGTGCGGTAACACCGAGGCCATAAACCCCCCATCCGTTTGTGGTAATTGGGATGGTTCATTCTTGGGTTTGCCACAACTATGGGTACCCGCTGGTAAACTAACATAGCTATGGAAAATGGCCCATTTATAGTTGATTTACCCGAAAAAAAATGGATTTTCCACAGCTATGTTAAATTACCGGAGGGTAACAAAAAGCGCATTCGGATTTTGAAGGATGGAATTCCTGTTGGACGTGATGATTCTTGTTTAGTCCGGTTGGTATAAGTTCCCACAGCAGGATTCCGGTTGGCTGGAAAAACCAGAGCCCACCGATCAAAGGCAGGATGATTGTATTTGTAGATGAACTCAACTGTGTTGGCCTATGGATGGGGAGACAGCCTGTGAGATGTCACTTCAGAACTTGGTGGAACTTGGTAGAACTTGGACAGCAAGGATACTGGTGGTTGACAGATAAAAGTGCTGTACTTCTAATATATTTCGTTTTAGGTGGCTGCAAAGATAAAGGTACTTCATGGTACTTCTATTCCCCCACTTGCGATGGTGATCCCTGGCAGCTCCCTGTCAAGCAGAGTTGGAGCCAGCCGGAAGGACGTCCGTGCACCCAGATCATAGGCATGTCATACTTTAGATTGTCCATAGTTAGATGACCATCGTATGATATAGTAACTGAGTATGATGTGTGATGGATATATCTATTTGTTATTATTTGTTTGTCTGCTCATCTTCTCTATTCTGAAATATTCTGAACCTTATCCTAATGGTCCTAATCACAATTCTTATTCTAGTCTGTTCCAATTCTAATTACTATTCCAATTCCACTTTAATTATTATTCTTATTCATTCTTATTCTTATTCTAGTAATTCTAATTCTGTTTTGTTCTGTTCTATTCTATTCTGTTCTCTTCTGGTCTGTGCTGTTCTGTTCTATGTCTATGCTGTACTATTCTATTCCATTCGATTCGGTTCCGTTTCAATTCAACTCCATTCTATCATATTTTAATTCTAGTTCTGTTCTATTCCATTCCCTTTCCATTCCACTCTACTCATTCTATTCTCTTCTATCTAGTTTATCTATCTTATCGTATCTCCATCTATCTAGTCTATCTGACCCATCTAACCTGTCTATATAATTTATGTAATCTACGTAATCCATCTATCAATCTCCGTATATGGATCTATCTATCTACCTGTTTGTCTCTCTGTGTGCCTTCTTATCTACAAAACACATAGAAAATCATAGAAATAGACCAGAGAAATCCCAGAACAATGATTTTTTTAATGTCGGAAACCCAATGCCATAAATCTACATAAACCTACATAAACCTACCATGTGGGATGGTGAACATAGCTAAACATACCACCCATGTGATGACGGGAAAGGCCATTGGGCCGGCAGCCGGCTGCCTCCAAGCGACCACGCAAATGGACCACGAAGCCACGAAGATCAAAAACCCCGAGCCAGAAACCAGCGGCGCTGTGTCAACGCCACGAATGCATGGACCTTCTTTTGAATTAAGGGGGGAAAATGATGGTAATCCATTGGTAATCCATTGGTAATCCATTGGTAATCCATTGGTAATCCATTGGAATGTTGGGATGACTAGAGAAACTGGGCTTCATAGATACAAAGCTGGCCGAAGGCACAGAACCGCTAGGTACTCGTGCCAGAATAGGTGCTGACTTGCTGGAGGCGTTTTTTTTTTTCTCCCCTTTATTTTCACAATGCCGGCTCCAGTTTCTCTGAACTTGACAGGAGTTGACCTCTGATTACATGGCCGCGGTGGCTGTCTCCCCCTAAGATGTTTGATAGCTGTTTGAAACTTCCTTTGTTACAGTCAATGGATTGGTTTAAGGGATTTTTTACAGGAAAACCATGGAAAACTTATATTTGATTGGAAAATGCATGGTTTCCGGTAGATTTTCCCTTAAACTAATCCATTGTTACAGCGACTTCGGAGGTTGCAAACTGTGGCGCCTTTTTGGTTCAAGCTTCGAAGAGTTTCACCACGTTCCCAAGTTGAAACCGCCACGTGCGGAGGGCGGGAAAGTTCGATCCTGCAGGTGATCCCACCTCAAATGGACACTTCAGCATTTTTCCAAAGCAAGAGGGATTCATTATGTGGTGGTTTAACACTGGTTTAACAATGTTTAACCATCACACACACACACACATATATATATATATATGGCAAACATGCATAAAACTTACATCTATATGCTTGGAAAATGGCATGGCTCAGCCAAGTTTGTAGCTCATTGGGACAAGATTTCAGCTGCACAGCGAGACAAAGCAAGTCAAAAACGTCAAAGACACTGAAAAGGACCACGATCAATTGCGATCAGATCTATTAGCTCTATCAAAAGACATTTTGATTCATTATGGATCACTGAAGAGCCATTTCAATACACATTTTAGCAAAGTCAGCCCACATTTTTCATCCTCGCAACTTGGAAAAAATCGACTTAGCGATGGCCCTGGCAGCGGCGCACTGCGCTGAGAGGCGTTTTTTTTTTGAAGCGTGTGGCTTTGGAATCCCTGCCCCTTTTATCGAAACCATGGTTTACCCTCTGGTAATTTAACATAGCTATGGAAAATGGCCATTTATAGTGGATTTACCCATTAAAAATGGTGATTTTCCATAGCTAAGGCACTGGGGGTGTGGAAAAAAATTGGGGATAGGATTCATCCCCAATACAGTGATAAAACCGAGGCACGGATCGTAACTGGTGAAAAAAACCTTGGTAGACTCGGACAGAATGGGTACACCCAAGCAAAATGAGTGTTTTGGCTGGGATTCACCCAATGTCATAAAGAATTGCAGTACAATGTGGGGATGGCAAACTTTCCCAGCCATAAAGATTGTGATTTTGGGTATGGTTTATATTCCAACCGTCAACCAACCACTTGGAAGTGCAGTTCTAGTTATAAGTGGATGGATAACTGACTATAGTTATGGTTATAGGCTATAGGGCTTATATTGCAACCTGTGGGGTTTTACAGTAGATTAAACGATATTAAACGCATGGTTAAGTCATATCCATTTGTAGCCTCAACTGCGCCCCCAAGTGGTAAACCCGAAAAAACCAGCCACTCTGCGGACCGTCAGTTTGTACATGTTTGTACCATTTCGGATAAACTTGGGGGTGGATTATCATGGGGTTTACCATGGTTTACCATGGTTTACCACCCCCAAAATGGTGATCTCAAGCCGTGGGGGTAAGCCCCCCATCTCCATGGGGATGGCCCCAGTGGCAGGGATGCCGGAGCCGAACGCTCCGAGAAAGTCTATCCCTTCGATGACAGGGATTTTGACTCCAGGGATGGCGCGCAGGACGATGGAGAAGGGCGAGGCTCAGGAGTTTTCAACTGGGATGCCAAAAGGAATCACTTGGGTATGGATCAATACCTATTACCCTCTGGTAATTTAACATAGCTATTGAAAATCACCATTAATAGTGGATTTTCCCATTGAAAATGGTGATTTTCCATAGATGTGTTAGTTTACCAGAGGGTAATACCATTTTTAGGGGGATGAACATCCATAAATCCCAGCTATTTTGATGTGAACTACAGGGGTACAAGGTTTTGACACACTGCCACTTGGGAGGATTCTCTCATGTTTTCTTTGTTTTCGCTGGGCCCTGATTTTTGAGGGTCACTGTGACTATTTGTTACGTTTGCATTTACTAGCTATTCGTTTGCCTGACAGGGGAACAGGGGTTGCGCAATGGAAACCAGCCGAATTCAACAGACACCATGATGTTTTTGCACCTCAGTGAGATTGCGCGAAAAAATCCAGAAACCAGCACCATTTGGACAGGGTTTCAAGCCTTTTTGAAAATAAATGGCTGTGTTCTGGCGCATTTTTTTTGGGTTAGCTTGAAACCCAATTGGTTTGTTAAAGCAAACACCATGATTGGTTGGTGAAAAAGCCGTGTTCCACCAGCTGCTATATAATTTGATGATCAACCCAAACACCAACTTCCAATGTGCAACTTTTCTGCATTGTTGGCAACAAGACCAAACATTTGATCCCTTCAACGCCCAGTACACAATTGCAGCTGTTTGTGTTTTATCGCCTTGAGAAACCCCTCATATGTGAGATTATGTGAGGGTACTATGGTTTCCCTGAGGGGTTTCCCTCACTGCAAACCTCTGGTTTGACCATGTAAATGCGATCCCAGGAGACAGAGGCCACCCCGGCCCGAAGCGAGCCGGGGCGGGTGCCGCCGGCGCCGGCCCCGGAGAAAACAAGGAGAGAGAGAATGGCAAAAAACTTCGGGGTTCACATGGTGTAAGTTGAACATAGTGGAACCAACTTTAGTTTTCCGAAAACACACACGCACACACACACACATATATATACATACATACACATCTTGGAGATATTAAAATTTGTATTGATCAATGAGATGATATGTTTGATTTAATGGGGATTTTGATGGCAGAACATGGCGGTTATACGAATGGGATATCATGGGATTAGTATGGCCTCACTGGGGTATCGACATCCCATGGATGAAGCCCCCGGCAATTTGTTCCCCGCATGGTACAAGGTGGTGCTTTGCTGTATATCTTAATCAATAATATATGTATATATATATATATTATATCTATATCTATATCTATATCTAATATCTATATCTATATCTTTTTCTATATATATATATATACGCAAACATGTTATATATCTGTGATGGGGGTCATAAGTGAACTTATAACTGGGGGGCACCACCTTGTGGTTTATGAA